GGGGGGGGAGCCCAGCCCCCTCGGTTTTCATCAGGGGGGGCTGAAGCCCCAGAGCCCCCCCCCCCCCTGATTTTACGCCTATGCTTTTGAGATACGTGATCAAGATTGAGAAATTCTAAAAAAAGACCTTTGTGAGGTCATCTCTTAAGAACACTATTTGGAGTTAATTAATATAGAATTTGGTGACTGTCAACCATTCACATGGGAAGAGAAAATTCCCTTTCACCAACAGGAGATAAAAAATGTTATCAAAAGAGAATGCCAATGGTTACATTTCGGCTGCATCAAGTCAGCTTGAAATCATAAAAATAATACTTTGCCAAAATTTGCCTATCTCTCACAATCTCTCGTCAAAATTAGATTAAATATAAAATTTATTGTGCTAATCACCAGTAACATCCCTACAAGATTATTTTTTTCAAAACAGTATAAATATTTCAAAATTACTATATATCTACCTTTTTAAATCTTTTTAAATAATCTTTTTAAAAAAACTGTCATAGGCATAAAAGAAAATAAGCTGTGTTGTTTACCTAATAACTTTCTTAAAGGACACTGCTGTTACTTAATTTTCAATTGTTTTCTTTTTTCAGTATTTTTATTTTTCTAAAGCTGTATTTACAAAGTTAAACGCACGCGATTGATAGCCAAGTTCTGTGTACACAAGGAACCCACACTTTGAAGATCAAAACACGCTTTTCAAAGTAAATAGTAAATTGTACAAAACAGAACAAAAACAGACCTTACTAATAAACTTCGTATTTACACAAAAGAAATTGAAACAAAAAGGGATATTTGCAAACCAATTTTAAACCTCTATTATGGACGATATGTTTTTGAAGAACTAATTTAATACGATACTTTTACTAAACAATGAGGTAGAAATTAAAAATTCTGACCTGGTGCGGAAAGCACATAATTTGAGATCGCAGAAAAGACTCTTGGCAACTCTTGCCTCTTGTTCCACAATACTTGTTCCTTCTTCGTGAAATTTAACATGTGGTTCGGCGATGGCAGCTCTTGCTTCCGCCATACTTGAATGAGTACAGTAACTTTTCCAAGCTTAAGAGGTTCTGACACAGTATTTTCACCAAACAAAGACAGGGTGAGTTTCGAGTAGCTTGGCGTGGGAAGTTGTCCTTCCTTCAGAATTTTGACCAACTCCAGCTGGATATGGTAGCAAAAAACCAACCAGGAGAGTCTTCACAAGGAACAAATATCAGTAGGGTAGCAGCGAAGATCAAAACTCAACGGGTAGACCTTCCCAAAGGCCTAGATCGGCATATGGCCTAGGCAGGTTGCGAACGGCTTACCCCTTGCTCCTTTAGATCACTTTATTTGCAGCATTCAAAAGATAGTTTGTTACTCTAGATGAAAAATTAATCCACCTTTTTGTTTGAACCGTCAACAGTGATAAAAGAATGAATTGAAACACAAACTCCCCACGCCAGAGATCGTTGTGCGTAGAAGATGGACTTTGTACCCGGCCTGCAATCCAATTCAAGCAATGGCGCCAAAACCCTATAGGCAAATACCCCCAAAATTAGACAAAAACCCCTCTTATATAATAAAACATTTGAGATTATGATGTAATTAAACCTCTTTTAATATTAAGCATTGTTTTAGAGACAATTTTTTTAAATAAGTCCATCTGATATTTGTCACTTCCTTAACGCTGCCGCGATGGAGGAGCAAGCTTTGACAAACCCACAACAAGCCCACTGTGTGACCCAAAGAATGTCTCAGATTCCCAAACAAAAGAACCAGGAAAAAGGAAGAAAATTCCCAGCCACGGTTTGGAAGAGGTTGCCATGAGGGATGGGTGCCATGTATCACAGAACTGCGTACACTATGGGGTGTGGGGACTGAAGGCAGGTGCGCCGAGAAGGGGGCTGGTGGGCTTTAGCCCCCATTTTTTTGCAAAAATGGCAAATATTAAGTAATAAACTACGAGTTAACCAGGGTGCGGTCCATGTACTTAGGCCCGAAGATCTTCGGCGTACAAGCAAGCTTTATTCGGCGTTCGGCGTGCAAAACATTAAAGAATTTTTTTGGCGTATATACATAAAATTTTCGTTAGTTGGCATGCTAAACATGAAGCCATGTACATAGTTAACGTAAAATAAAGACTCAAACCACACAGTTTTCTCTAATAATCAGTTTTTTGTCTAGCGTAATAATGTTTACAGCTTTACTAACAGTTAGTAACTGCTTTTATATTTTCGGCGTCCATTAGAGGGAAAGTTGAAAATAAGAGCTGCTAAAATATAATTGATAGCCTTCGGATTATCCACTCCTTACGTTTAAAACATATGGTCAGGGGCGGACTGGCTGGTCGGGCTATTCGGGCGATCGCCCGAAGGGCCGGTCGGTTTAAGGGCCGGCTGATAAAAGTGCAAGAGAATAAATTAGCTTAAAAAGTGAATGCGAGGCAAAAAACTATACCCATGCGTTGATCTGTTTGCCTTAAATTTTCAGAGATTTTCAGAGACAGGGATTTTCAGGGAAAGAATAAATATACACGCGAGTACTCCAAAACCATCAAACTTATGAATTCATTGTTATCACTGCAGCCCAAACACACTTCTTCAGGAAACATGTTATTGACATCTTGTAATATTTTCTCTTGACGGTATTTCCTTTTTGGCGACATATTATACTGTAACACCCCTGTTTCAATGCGATACAAAAGATTTTAACCTGCCCTGATGTCTTTTTACTTAGCTTTTGCTTCAAGCTGGTCATGTTTTTGCCTAAGCACAAGCTATTGCTAAATGTAATAAATTTAAAAGTCCAAAAATTGGAGTTCACTAAGCGATTTGCTCTGTGATGTGAAGCAATGAAGTGGACATACGTAGAACAAGGGAAGAGCAAGAAGACTCCAGCCAAAGGTGGTGCACAGAAATTTCGCGAGGAAAAGCTGCGAGACTTAAAAGAGGATTCAGCTACAATACAAAGCTTTTTTTATCAAGCAAAAGCCACAAACGTCACAAAAAACAGCAGGGTCTTGCTCTTTTCAATAAACTCATATTAGTTATGGTAAGTTTATTAGGCCTATACTATCATAAGTCAAATGCACCCCCCCCCCCCAACAGGGGTATGGTGCTACACGATAAAATTTCAACAGGGGTCCCTATGTTTCCTTTTTGGGGTCAGAAATTGACAGCTTGATATTTTTGGGTTGCTGAAAATCATTAAGGTTTTTCGGAGGATTAGGAAATTAATTGTCACAAGTTGAGTGTGATAGAAGCTTTTCCACCTCAATTATATAAAGAACAGATTACGTAGTAATTTTTCGCAGCCAAACCTGGAGTCCTTCATGTTAATGTTATTAGAAAAACACCTGTTAGATGACATCCAGAACGATCACATTATCAACATATAAGATCCTGTATTTAGAAACGGAGTCAAACCAATGAGTTAAAATTTTTGTTTATTTACTCTTTAGTCAGGGCCGTAAATCTGTCATCTCAATTAGGGGGGGGGGAGGGGGTCAGCAGAGCAAATGAATATAAAGTTACGGTATGTGTTATGGAAACAGCTTGAGCGGCAAACGACTTAAAAAACAAAAAGAAAGATTATTAGATTTTGTTAGGTTTTTTCAGCTCTATATAAGGAATTTACAGATTTTTTAGCACGTTTACTTCTTTATAATTGATTTGATAACATTTTTCAGGTAAGGAAATTGAGCCTGAGGGGCTGTGAATCGCGCTTAGTGATGTAGGAGGACCCACCATGGTTGGGGCCGACGCGAAAGACAATTCTTTAAATCATACCTTCTAAATAACTAGAAAAGCATCTCCCAGATCAAGTTTAACAAAATACTATACCGTTCAGGATAGACAAATCGACGTTTCTCAGAAGAACATTGATTATTATTCTGGGAGAAATTGGGAAAGGGAAGAGTCATGCTTAAACTCTAGTGACAGACGTCGGGGAAAGAAAGAAAGGTGTTTTCTATTCGAGAGCAAGCGATGTTTTCCTAAAACCATATCAGATTAAAAAAAATAAGGATGCATCTAAGAATATATTAGGGCTCAAAACGAAAACTTCCTTAAAAAAAATAGAGGCTGAGCAAAAATTTACGGCCCTGCTCTTTAGTTAGCAAATGACATATTTAGCATGTTCTGTTAACCAGCATTTACCCATGCACAAAATTATTGAATTTAAAAACTTGTTCCCCTTACAGACTAACATTTACTTGCATTTTCCGAGGAGTTTTTTATTTGCTATTATTGTGGGCCGGTTTGATAAAAATTTGCCCGGGCCAAAAAAATTAGCCAGTCCGCCCCTGCATATGGTCATGTTGATAATTTTCAATGGTGAATCAATTCATAATAATCTTTTATTTCAATTTAGTTTTTATAAATTATAAATCACCAACTTGGGATAAAGTTTTAATAAAGACGTTGTTTTTGACATATGTTTTCGGTGATAAAGTCCACTGCAATTGTTGCCCATTGGGGAGGAGCATGAATTCTGGTTTACATGAAGTATCTCATGGTCTTTCTGCACGCGCTTCTTTCAATTTAGGCCAGGTGTAGTTGGGATAGCATTATCTTATTATTCTTAAAAATGGAGGACGAGGAAGTTACAACTACAACTGAAGAACAGCCTGAAGAGCAAATAGAAGATGAAGATGACAGTGCTGTAGTTCAGGAGCTTGATGATATGTTTAAAGATCGATTTACCGAAAATGACGAGGCTTTTATGGCTGTTGTGAACAGAGAAGACATTCCTCCACCAGTGGTTACAAATTTCCTTGATTTGAAATATCAAAGGTACCAAATAAAGTTTTGCCGAACGTTTAAGTCGCTGAAAATAGTAGTATTGAACGCCATGCTACATTTTGAGATAAGAATTTCTGCTTTGTTTCTAAATTCTAATCGAATCAAATCAAAGAAGTTTGCAAAAAGGTTCAGCTGAGTTTAAATGCAAAATTTTTCTACATACACAAAGCTTCCTCAAACTAGCATACAATTAACTTTAATAACAATTTCAACAGCAGATGAAATATAATTAAAATTATACAACAGGAAAATATAATTTTGTTTGAAAAGGAATTTTAAAATCTAAGGTTGCTCTTTTATGTGACATAAAATGATCTTTTATTAATTCTTTACAAGTTTGGAACCCTCATGTTTATTGTCATTTGATTTCAATCTTTACAACAGTGTTTGAAAACTTATACTTCCTGTAAATATATGGATCATTGTGTTACATACCTAAGGTTGAGTTTTGTGATTTTTTTATATAAGAATATGTTAATTTTAGAGACAGAGATGACCGCTCAAGACACGGTGATAGATATCATGATAGGGACAGAAGAGACAGTAGAGGAAGTGACAGATCACGAGAAAGAGGGTAAAGCTGATTATATTATGATTATAAGTATTTTTAAAAAAAATTGTAATACAGATGCTGCTCAAGTAATTATTGAGTTGTTTGTTCGTTTGTTGCTCATTTTTATGAGATTTATACAGCATGACAGACCGCAAACAACAGGGTGCATTCCACATACTGAGGTCCGAAGACCTTCCAAGAAGCCATGTACTTGGTTAACATGAAAAGAATAAAAAAGACTCACACACCACAGTTTTTTCTAATAATCAGTTTTCTCTGACTGCTATACAATATGTTTTACGAACTGCTCATATTTTCCGCATACCTGAGCAAATTCCCTGGTGGACCTCCAGCATACAGTTGACATGAAATGCACCCTGGCATAAACAGTAATTTTCCATAAATTGATATTTTTACTTTCTCTATTCTGACATAACAAAGCTTGATGCACACAGGTACGAATCAATTGAAACCTTGGATGTTCTATCAAAGATGAGAGATGTTCTTTGTTGTTAAGAGTTTCATGCTCACATGTACATCATTACATGCATGAAACTTGGAGTTAAAAGCAAACATACCAATTTGTATTAAACATTTAATATTTGAATTTATATTTTTATTTAGATCTTTAACCATCAATCCAAACTAGAAACACTCCAACAGAAGTTGTCTACCTTACAAAAACAGCTTAAGAGTTTGTTTCCAGAAATGTCCTGCTTCTTATGAGCTATGCCCTACTTTAATAGTAATTTTGTTAATTCTAATATGTTAGGAATTACTGGAAAAAATATACAAAGAAACTCTTTAAAAAATCTGTTGGAGATCTCCAAGCATTTCATGTTTTGCATAGAAAATAGATTTAATTGCTCAAAACAATTTGTTTCCATTTAATGCAGGCTCTCCTTGACTGTTTCTGTTTGTACCTATTCTATTTGGACACAATGAATCAAATTTTCCTGCAATGCTTGCTTGAGATAAAGGTTCAGTTTTTAGATTTAATAGTATTAATCTAAGTATTTGTAAGTATTTGTTCTACAGCCTTATGGCACACATAAACCGATAAATACCATAACGGATTGTTGATTTTCTATGTTCTAGCTTCCCAAAAATGTTGTAAAAGACAGTAGGAGCTTTTCCATTAAGCATTTTTAGTCTTTCTACAATGTTCTTCTTTTTTCCAGGGACCATCGCCGAGACAGATCAAGATCTCCACACCGTCACAGTGCTCCAAAGCTGCCAAACAGCTATTACTTTTTTTATTATTAAAAAAACTTTCTATTCACTTGATTCTTCTTATCTTAAACAATGTTTATACATATGAGAAAATAATAGTATGTAAAAAACTGTTGGTTTTTTATTACTAAACAGAAAACAAAGTTTTATTCTTGCCTTTTCTTCAAAAATCTGGAGACTATTTCAAGATTATAGAAGGCTGTTTGGCAAAGGAATGCCTCTTCATTAAAGGCAGAACAATAGCTCGTTAAAGTCTTTTCATGAAGGGGGATTTCACGCTAGAGAAGAGGTTATTAGTTATTCTTTCCATGTTTTATTCAAACTTCATTGACACATATAATTCTGAAAGAAATTAAGAGCTAAGATTCTTTTTGTGGTACAAAAATTAAAAATGGCTTTGAAAAAAAGCAAACATTGTAAAACATAGGATTTTGGTCTGACACTCTGCGGAAATATATATATACCCAGTTGTGAATGAAATTAAGCAAATCAGAAACACGGGCACATGACTGTTGAGGGTACCCAATCAGTGCCTAAGGTGAAAACAAGCTCCTTTCAGATTAAGATCTTTTTTGTATATAAACATTTGATTCTTCACAAAACAGCTTTTAACTTCCAATGTAAATAAAACTGTAAATCAAAGTATGAGAGAACCTCACAAAAATTTAGGCCAATTTGATATTTATTCTGCCACAGCCAATTAATCATGTTCAGCATTAATATGGTCCAAGCTTTGCAGGTAAATAAGAATTTATTATCAAGGTTAATTTAAGACCTTACTAAAAGTTAAATATTTATATAAAATTGAAATACGAAAAAAGTTAGATATTTACATAGAATGGAAACATGGAACAGGGCAAAAATATTCTCAAATTTCTTGATTTCCTGACCACATCCTCCTGTACTGACTTGCGAACTTTCTGGAAATAACTCCCCTGGCCTCATAAAGCATATTCCATTTCTAGCTAATAAGTTCCCCAATAGTGGTGATGAGCTCTCTGATGATCACATTAAGCATGAAACTTAGAACCATTCTGTTCTAAACACCAAATCGTGTGAACAGCTCTGCCTATATTGAATTAACACTTAAGCCTGGTTCACACCAGTGAGATCTTCCATTTTATTTACGTAAACGAGATCTTCGAGAGCTTTGAACTAAAACAAGAGCAAAGGCCGCAACTTCGAAATCCTCGTCAGAACAACTGTCATGGCACAAAATCTGAGTCATTTTTCTCACTGAGTGAGATAACCCAATGTGAACTCTGTGTTCTAACTAGAATGATTTCCGGTTTGAAATAGTTTCACTAGAAAATTTTATCTCACTCAGTGAGAATATCATATTCTCACTGGTGTGAACCAGGCTTTAATGACCAGTTCATTGGTGTGGAGAGGGGGAGGCAAAAGGGGGTTAATGCCCCCCCCCCCATGACGAAAAATCTCTTTAAAAAATGTTGTTTTCTGGTCTGTTCAGATAGGTGGAGATCCCCATTTTTCCCACACTCAACTCATCTTTGCCCCCCCCCCCCCCCCTCCAATCATACCACCCTGACCAGGCTTATGTTTATGAACGGCAAGTATAACTTTCATTTCTATCCAATGATATATAAGCTACGGCAATTAGAGGAAATGAGGATATGTACACTAATAATTGCACAGTTGTAAGCATTTTCTGTATGTACATGTTATCACAATTCACAGATCTGTGAATTGTGAATTGCAATAGGTTATCTCATATATGAATTTTAGTCCTCCCTTAAGTCAGACAGATAGATGCTTACAGCAATTTGCTTTGAAAATCTTTACAAAAATAGAAAACCCTCTTGTGAATTTTCCAACATATTTGATTGAAAAATAATCCTCAAGCAAATTGTATGTCAAATAGAATTTTACAACTAAACAAATTACAAATTCTGTTTAAGAAATAAAACAAACAATACATAGGTTATCATGTAACAGAACAATCATTTTAAGTTATTTATGGATCATTGAACAAAACATAACTTGTAACTCAGACAATTAAGACATATTTAATTGAAAAGTATGAAAATAAAAAGTAGAAATACCAAGAAAATTGAAATATACCAAGGGATGCAAATATTTAGTGACTCGTGCTAAAAAAATGGTAGATTCTTCCTCTGTGATAACTTTCAAGATGGATGGCATGAAAGTCCAACATAAGCTATTGACCAATCAGAACCTATTGGCAATGCAAAATTTTGTATGCTTACAGGGACATGGCAAAACAAAGATGTTTTTTCAGACTTAGTCCCTGAAGCTAACCTTACTAATACTTAAAAAAAAGCAACAGTTTCTGAATCTGTCCAAGAAAGGACAATTTGACATCCACAGCTGTCAAATTTAGTCAGTCCCTCAAAAGTTGTTAACAACAGGAAAGCTTTTGTTTGGGGTTTATGAGGAAGATCTAATTTAATTGAAAATTGTTATATGACCGGCTCAAAATAATTGTTAGTTGCATTTTTTTAAACTGTATGTAAAAATTACCCTCTGCTGAAACTATTTTAATTATTTTTACAAAAGCCAGTTTGACAAGCACCAAATCTTCAAGAATACAATTTCAGAAGGAAATACTAAAAATGTATTCTTTCATAATCATTCATCTTTAGGTGGAGTCTTTATAAATTTCTTTACCTCTTCTGTCAGATTGATAACATGCTTAGGTGCTTCGTCTAGTGTTGTAAATATTCTGTGCATACCGTCATTCCAGGAGACTTTTATATCATCAGCTGTTGGAAGCTGTAACGTAAAAAAATCATGATAATTTGAACAATGATATCTGTTGAGCAATGAGGCAAATACTGAAGATCTTCAGAGCCGAGTTACTTGGTGTTGCATTGGCATGTAAAAAACTCCATGTTTGCTTTTTTCAAAGCAATTTTCAAGTTCTGTACTGCCAAAATACTGTTCACATTTATGTTTCCTGCAGAACAGTTTGTTCCTCAAATCCTGTTTAGGGGACTTTTTGAATTGGGAATAACGTTATTCAATCTTTTATCTTGCAATGTGGTCTGTTCCCAGGTAGGCATCAGCAGCAGATTATTCCCCTGCACAAAGCTTCCCTCCATGTACCCACATTTTTCTTTGGGGTGTAGCCCCTAGCCTCTCCCTCCTGCTTCAGTCATATTTTTTCTGGCCCTGTGGCCAGGGGCGGATCCAGAGCAAATTTGAAGGAGGGGCAGTTGGTAGTTGGGGCGCTGAAAAATTTTCAAACATTGGTTATGAGAGTACGCTGTATACAACAATTTCAGATACCTTGTCAGAATAAACAACATAACTTTGAGGTAATCCTTGAAGCAAATTGACCTATCGGTCCAAGAACTTTTCTCATCTGATTATCATTTCTCATAAGGGGCGCAGAATTTCCAAAAAAGGTGCGCCAGACTTGCTTCAACTCGTTGGGGGAGGGGCAACTGCCCCTAGTTGCCCCCCCCCCTAAAATCCGCCACTGCCTGTGGCTCAAACGCACCAGAAATGAACTTTCCTGTGCAGAAATCAAGGAATGCATGCAAAATGTTCTGGAACAACCCTGGGTCCAATAGCACAACACAAAGTATTTCTTGTGCACAGGGGTTGTTATTTTCTGATGCTTATATATGCGCAGGAACAAATCATGTTGCAAAATAGCAGGCTAAAACCTGTGGGGTTTTATTTCTAAAAAGCATTTGTAAGCATCGTGGCGAGGCTGTGCGCGGGGTTCACATGAAATTCCGTGCTGCCATTGCGCGGACCAAACTTTAACTTTCCATAGTCTGGCAGTAATTCTACACTGAGATTAAATTTATAGGAACATATTTCGCACCATAAATAATTATTCATATAGAATAATAAGGCGGACATGAACAATCCGGAGAGCTACCATGTTTTCCTTGATGTCATGTTTCTAGGAGAGCGTTCCCTGACCCTAGGCGACCTGTGATTCGTTGATGTAGTCAAAACAACTCCTTGACGTGTATGACACGAGGTTAATCGGATTATCCGAACCGGATCCTTCACCTTCGCCGAATAATAAAATAACTACTATCTACTTTTCATGTTTATAAATACCTTGTGAAATGGAATATGATCTAAAAGATTATCTTCCGCGTGTTTCTTGACAAGTTTAACATGTTTTTCGTTGTGATCGGTTTGTGTACTCCATATTCCTTGATCGTAACTAAAAAATACTGCACCACCAACAATAATTGCTTTTCCAAGTATTCTCAAACTGTTTCTTACTGTAATTAAGAAAACAGGGACAAGAGACATGTTTCAAACCCCAAAAAGTTTCTGATACGCTGTGCACTGTTTACGAATGATCCTCTCGCTGGAGAAATTAGGCCAGTTGCCTCGTAATCAAGCGAAGGCTACGAACAAATGGGGCATTGGTGGCAGTTGTGAGTTCCTAAATAAATGCAGATCTATTATAAGTTTTATAGACTGGGATAGAAGCTACAAAAATTGTGCCCTGAAAGGGATTAGAGAGGCTCAGCCCCCTTGTTGAAATTCAGAAAGCTTTGGGGGGTAAGCCCCCTTAACAAGCTAGTATATGAATGGGTTGGTGAATTCCTTACTTGGAAAGGGAATTATCCCTTTATTTTTCCATTGATTTTTCATGATTTAGCAAGTTCTATTAGCTTTTTAGAGTGATTGACTAGTCTGAAGGATTCCACATTTTTAGAACGACAACCCTGTGTTAAGATACAAGTTTTAAGGCAAGAAATGCTCCCTCAGAGGTAAAATTCCCATAGATATCAAATCAGCCGTGAAGCAACGCTCCCACATCATCAAGAGCGAGTTGGGCCGTTTTATTTTCCATCCTTAACTATTTTTCCTTCCCAGTATGCATAAATGGGGATGACTCGATTTAACTTAATCAAAGTTAATTTCAGGAGGGGCGATTATCCTTTAATTGATTCACCATGGGCAAGGAACGCGGAGCATATTTCGGATTAAGGAGCTAAAACGTATAGAGGGGATAAACATGCCAAAAAGTTTTGTATGCTTTTAAGTACATTTTGGAAAATAATGGGGGGGTCTATAACCCCTTTAGCCCCCTTGCTTCCACTGTTCTTGACAATGGGTTTCATTGTTTGCTATTCATTATTATTCCTTTTCACGTTCTTTCTCACGTTTCACTTCTACCTGTTCTACAAGTACTCATAGCTGTGAAATTCTTTGTCCTCCTTGGAATTTTTGTTAAGAATATCCTCCTCACGAAAGTATCCGAACAGTTTGAAGACCGAATGGCCTTTCTAGCCTAAACAAATTTAGGCTGGCGATAAACGATAACGATTCTTTCATTAAATGTAAATAACTTTTTGGGCAACCCTTCCAAAACAAAACAAAACAAAACAATGCGTTAAGATATTGCAAAACTTCTGAGCTTTTTGCCTTTCATCATTTTGCGTTTTGTTAAAATAAAAACCCTTTGCGATAGAAGCCTTAAGCAATTAACGAAGAACAGCAGAGTCAAGTGATTTGGACTCGGCTCAAAGGGAACATAAAGCATTGAACATTGTGACGTTATGACGCAAACCTGTTTTTGTGCAAATCGGATAGGGCGGAACGTTCAGCCCTAAATGTCGCAAGAATTCTTGCTCTTCATGATCGCGAGAAATTTTTTACGCTTCTGTTTGCTAAAATTGTTTGCATATGCCAAAGAAAGCAGTCCTTATGTATTCAGTGATGCCAGCAACTTAATGTTAGCTTTTCCCATCCCAAAGCGTGTTTAGCATCATTCTTCATGATACAAAGAACGCAGGGCCTGTCGGGAAGACAGTGACGTCAGCAACCACAATGACATGCACCCATAAATGTCTCTCGTGGCCAAGTTGCAAGTTCCTTAACTTCAAGAAAGAAACCAAATCATACGATCTGTTGGAGAGAAATTTCACGGAGAGTGCAGTGCACTTAACAAAAGACGTTGGTTCTGTTTACATGACAACAGAAGAGGACCAAATGAACGTAAGCCCTATTTTATTTATTGTTATTCGACGGAGTTTTTTATTTAAATTCCATCTCCATCTAATGATAAGGGATAAAACTTAAGGAAAGGGGTTGGTAGCTCGGTTCGAAGTTCGAGTCAAAAGAAAAGTGGTGAGTTGCTTAGGCTGTTATAAACAAGATATGGGGCTTTGTTGGTGGAAGGGGGGGGGGGCTGTTAGCTCGATGCAACGTTTCTATCGATTGCGGCTATACGGCACTTGATATAGGGTTGTGATGGTGGAGGTGGGGGGGGGGGGAGTTGACTCGATGCACTGTTCAAGTCAATAGCAGGTTTTTTAAAATTGAGATGTACTTTACGGATTAGAAAATGTGATATTATTTGAATAATTTTTATTCCAGGAAGGCCCAGCCTGCAAAGCACTTAGGCCGTGCCAAAACGGTGGCACATGCCAAGATGCATGCAACAGTAAAGGATACAGGTGCACATGTGACATTCAGTACACTGGATACAACTGCGAGACCATTAAAGGTAAGGGCACTGTCAATTGAGTTCTAAAGTGATGACGTCACGAAATCTATTTTTAGAATTTTTCAATTTTGACCCGATAGCCCAAAAGAGCAATCGGTTGGGAAGCGTGACTGGATAGTGTAGTTTGCATTGTATACAAAGCACAAAATGACTGGTCGCAAGTTCGATTCCTGGCCTGGTCTTGACTTTCGTAAAAAATAAGAGCATTATCTTGAACTCTCTTCGATATAAGACCAAAAAGGGCCGATAAACTAATGAATTTATTAATCTGATAAAAGCTTGTCTCTTTGAAAATAAATGTTTTGCAGTACTGCCCTCTGCTTAGCAGTACTTTTGGATGACGCTGAATAAGTGTTTATCAACAATTCTAAAAACTAACATTAAAAAATAAAACAGTTAAACTAGAAATGTTCTTTGATGCTGTCTCGCTCTCATTGGTTATTGCATTGTTCACATTATTTTCATCGAAGAATGGATAGTATTTCAACGAGGAGTTTCGGCTGACGTCGATTTCTACCGTGATTGGATTTCATATAAAGTCGGATTTGGTGATCCATCAGGGAACTTCTGGCTTGGCTTGGACAAATTGCATGAGATGGCAAAGCCTGGCGCAGGCGCAAAGCTCCGCATCGACATGAAAGTGATGACTGGTGGGAGCTATCACGCAGAGTATAGTAAATTCGAAGTCGAAAATGAGGCTGCTGGTTATCGATTGACTATTGCTGGATACAGAGGTACGCTCTCTCTAATATTGGCAGTTTGTAATCTTGATTATTATGATTGACGATGATCGTGATTGATTGATGATTATGATTAACTGTAGATTATGACTGATTGATGATTATGATCGATTGATGATTATGATTGATTGATGCTTATGATTTTGACAACGGTCATTGCAATAATGATTAGTGATTGATGTTCTGTTTTTAAAGGGGTTGCAACTGATGCACTTGCAAATCATAATGGACAGAAATGGACCACGTACGACAGGGACAATGACCATAGATCATACAGCAATTGTGCACAGGAATACAAAGGTGCCTGGTGGTATAACAGTTGCTATCACTCAAATTTAAATGGTGTGTTATTAAAACCAGGAGAGACTGAGTCTGCAATAAATTGCCGCTGGAATATTATCAACAACATTGTCTACATCGAGATGAAGGTCAAGTTAAGGCGTTAAAAGCAAAGGCAAGATAAAGGCTAAGCAAAGGAAGAGGACAGGGGTTGCGAGCGTAAACATAACATTTTTATATCACAATTATAGGCGAAAACAAAATACAATATCTGTGCCGTTCAAAGCAGAAATAAATATGACGTCATCTGGTTCTGGCTATGAACCAGCATGTTTTGCAACTATGTCTTCAAAACCGGCCTAATATCATACTGCATGAAAATGCCGAATACAGTCCAAATCTCGTCGAGCAAAAAAAGGTACCGCAAGGCATGCCGGTTCACCAGAGCCATCTGTCAATCATATTAGCCAATAAATGAGCATGTGAGTAGAACCACACTCTCTGATTGGTCAATCTATGATTGAAAGATGGCTGAAGCCCCTTTAGTATCTGTCGATTGCCTTTAACATAGCTTTTGCCGTCAAGGATAGTACAGCGAATCGCAGCTCGAAGAAAAAACTAATGATTGGAAAAATTATAACAAAACCCTTTCTCGTATTGAACGTTTTATTGGATAATTGGATTTATTGCACCATCTATTGCAAAACCCTGTATAGAGCTGAGCTTTCAGTTTAGAGCAGAGATAGGTTGTAATTCATACCCCATGGACGCTGATAAAGATATAGATAAAGACGGGTTGCCATAAACCTTAGCTAAGCTTAGAAACTTTTAGGATTACCATCAATTTTTGGCAGAATGAAAAACAATTAATGATCCTACTTAAATTAAAAGCAATTTTTTGCAGGAAGAGGGAAAACATGGGTACATGAAAGCAAAATAAATTTTCGATGGGCAATAAAAGATTGGACGTTTTCTAACGGATTACTGTTGTTTTGGCTTTGTTCATAAAGTTACTTGACCAAATTACAGAGGTTGCATGGAGCAGACCCTGTGCTCATCTGGCCAATTCTAAGACAATTCGTTAAAATTTCAACTGATTTGTCATATTTAGTGGAATGTTTTGATACTCTTTTAGGTTTTGGGATCAAAATCCAAAAATTATAAAATCAAACTTTTGTGACATCATCATTTTTCTGCATGTAAGCAAAATGAACTTCTGATGGTCAAAACAATTTTCGCTATTGTGTGAAATGGCTAGCAAGGGTAAGTGGGGTTAAAAGCAGTACTGAATATGAGTAGCATAAGGGGTTTCTGCCAGCACAATGAGAAAGTCAGAGAGAGTAATTACGAGGGGGAATGAGGGGGTTAATTGAGAAAGGGAGATGCATTAAATGAGATTACAGTTGCCTTTGTTTTGAGGTGAGTGTTGATAAATGGCGTTTGTTGTGATGTTTAGCCATTTTAGAAAATCCTTCATGTGCCATTATGAAAGAAAAGTCATATGTGCAGAGTCACAAGTGAGCCTTGTATAGAATAGAATGCAAACACGTGATAGGTCATAGGCCAAGGTCATTATGCCATATAAGGTATTAGTGGAAAGACACATATTGGCATAATAGGTCCAATAGCATGAACAGTAGCTAGTCACGAGACGGAGCTCCAGGAATAAGGCCATACTGTAGAGACGGGTGTGGTAGAGTGGTGGAGTGTAACATACGCGGATACGTCAAATAATCGTAACCGTTTAGTCGAGATAAAGGCCTAAAGTAAATAATGCCAAAAAAAGATATAAATCATCAAATTTGTCTTAATTGTTTCTGATTCCAAAAAGAGATCAAAACTTTCAACATTTGGCGCCCAACGTGGGGCACCATTTGTTGTATGGACTCCTTGGCACAATTTGTATGGACCAGAAATTGAAAAATCTTTAGGCCCATAACTTCCGTTATACATGAGGTTCTCGGATAAGATGGCACCAATATACCAGGCAAAATCAAGATTTTGTGGATAAAGAAACAAAGATTAAGATGAAGGTTTTTGGCATTGAAATTTTTGGGTACAGCTGAGCTTTCAGATCACCAGAAAGATTTCTTCATTGTGCGGGGAGTGTATTCATTGAATTTTATAAACGCAAGAATCACTTCAAAATGGAAGCAATTTCTTAATTCAATCATCATTATCATTGATGCATTTTTAGACATTGTCTTTATCATTTTCTTCTTCCTCTTCATCATCTTGTCCCTCTTCAGATGTCTGCTTTCTCTCGTGGAATCCCAAAGTTCCATCAGGAAGTGATGGCTGACGAATAACGTAAAATGTCCTACAGGAAGAACAACGCTTATAAGAATGCTTTCATTTTAGATAGACAAGGAATTTTTCCTAACAAACTGGCGGAGAGGGTAACTGGGGGTTTTTCACTTCCTTGGGCTAATACCTTAAAATTTTGAAGGGTGTCCAAAAAATTTCTATCCAGATGTCACGTGACCGATGACGTAAATAGTAACGGTCAGAAACATTCTTGGGAGAAAGACCAGAACGTAAATATAAGAACGTATTCTAGGGCAAAACAATCAGAGTAAACAAATGTTCAAGTTATCAGGGTTTCGATATAATTTGAGTTCGATTTAACATTAAGTCTAGAGTAAATTGGGTCATATTTGATAGGAAAAGTGAAATTTGTCACTTACTTTGAAGCTGGAGGAAGTGACAATCTTTTTCTGATAGGTGGTTTGGAATTAGATTCCCTGCAAAAAATCGATTTAACATTCAAATTAATATAAAAAATATTGCAATACGACTAAGCCATATTCCGCCCAACCAGATTCATTGGAATTTTTTGTAGCAAGCACATACCAGAGTACGAATTTCTTAATTAAGTGCCGGGTTTGACCTCTGACCTTTGCTGTTCAGAATGCAAGCTTAAACTTTGCAGGATGAATTTAGGCCAAAGGTGTTTTAGATTGACCTTTGACTTTTGTTGTTTAGCATGCAAGCTTGAACTTTGCAGGATGAATTTAGGCCACTGATGTTTCTCCAGCAATCTTACGAAAACATTAAACAAAGAAACGTAAAAACGACTTCATCAATTCTCCAGGGCATATATAGAGATGGGCTAAGTTAGCAGGGCGCTGGTGTAATCTAGAAACGTGAGTCCAGGCTATAGGTTCAATTACAGCAATAATGCAACCATATTCAACAAATAGATGTAAAATAAAACAATCTATTCTCTAGTGCTTAATTAGGGAAGAATGTTCAAAAATTTACTTATTTTCACATAGCATTATTTCGGGTAACCATGTTACTATTTCTCCTCTAATCATATCGGGCGAGGGGAGGATCAGATTTAAACTTCGGAAATTTTCCAAAAATAAGGTCTACTAACCCTATAATCTATCTAGACACCAAATAAAGAATAAACGAGTAGAAACAAATAGAAAATAGACTGAAATAGGACATAACAGATTATGTTAATTTCTCAAGTGCCAAGTCAGTTTGGCTTTTGACCTCAAGTTTTTTATCTTTGTTGCTTGGGATGACCTTTGACCTTGAACTTTGCTGGATGACTTAAGGCCATAGTTACTTCTGCATCAATCTTACAAAAACATTCAACAAGGAATACAATAAATATTCAGTCGTTATTTTATTGTATCAATTTTTGAAACTAACTTACCCTGGTATTTTTCGGATTTGTATGGCGCTTTGTTTTGCATTTTTGTGACTTTTAACTATGACGAATTCAACTGAGTCCCCAGCCTAGAGAGAAAGAAGACAGCATAAAACCCTCTTTTAATGAAATCTTTCCTTTCCAAAAAACGTTTGCCTTTCTACAAGACCTATACGTTTACACAGAAATACACAGTATTACCACAGTATACACAGTATACGCATCACAGTCTAAATAATCTTTTGGTGGTACAAAACTTGAAAATGGCTTTGAAAAAAGCAAACATTTAGTAAACTAAAGCTTTTCGTCAGACACTCTTCAGAGTTTAAAACGTCAGAACATAGATCTAAAACTCTACGCTAGGAAATATATATACCCAGTTGTGGATCAAAATAGGCCAATAAGAAACGCGGGCACATGACTGTTGAGGTTGTCCAATCAGTGCCGCTTGCCTATTGAAAATGTATTGTCATATTCATCACAGTCTATTGTTATATTAATCATACGGTAAGACTCGCAAGGTCAAAATTTGAATACCAAGAGTGCCCTCCCTTTAGGGGAGGCTAAATACGACCTTCTAAAGGAAAATTATATAAATAGCATCAGAGATTCATTAGCAATACCTGAAGGTCAGTTTCCTCGTCAACGACCTCACTGATATGGAAGAAGAGGTTTTTGCAGTTTTCACCCTCGTATGATATAAAACCATACTAAAAATAGAATGAAACTCAACATGAATCAAAGATCAAAGCAGTGACTTTCAGAATAGTCTTTTATACACTAAAAGCCGATAAACCTACAATTTAATGGAAATTAATAATATAAACAGGCTACCTAAGGTAATTTGATAAAGGTCAAACAGAGGTCAAAGGACATTTTCGGTAAAGGTCAAAATATCTATAGCTTGAGGACCTTGAAATTTTGAGGACCCAGATTTTCACACATTAACAAAAAGGGACGAGAACCTGAGTGACAGAAAATGCATTTTGGTCCGTGATTTTTGAGCCATGGTGAAAACCTGGGAAATGGTTCACATTTTAGGATTCTGTGTGGCCGTGACTGGAGGTTTGACGTGGTAGTGACAGTGTCGTCAAAACAAAGATCCGAGTAACAGATTCTGTAGTCTAGGAGCATGGTGGGAATTTTTTGTGGGCTGAGAAAATCAAGTTTTTAGGGGCTAATTGTTTCTTGTTTTCATCACTTATGGTTTATTGGAAATGAGAGTCGCGGAGGCAGCGTGGGGCCTTACTCCACTTGTTTTTTTCTTACAAATCTGATGTACAAATGATAAAAGCTTAAAGGAAAGGAAAATCTAACGGGCCCACATGTAAAGCTTTAAGGGGCCTACCGGGTAAAATTTACCGAGTCCTGGTGGGACACCACACCTCTGCTGTAGTCTGACATAAAACATCCTAAAAGCTAGGAAAGCATAACTGAACTTATTGGAAATTATTGCTAGGAAATCATTGCTTGAGTATTCTGTGTGACAGTGCGTGACTGGAGGTTTGACGTGGGAGGGAGTGACAGTGACGTCACAACAAAGATCTGAGTAACAGATTCTGAAGTCTGACATCAAACAAGGCTAGGAAAGCATAACTAAACATGTTGCTGGTCTCTAACGGGGAATATTCTCGTAATATTGACAAACCTGGCCCTTGACAGATTCGACCTTGCCTTTGCAAAGATCTCGCACTGACGTCACATTCATAGCACGTTGCTTGATTCCAGCCTGGTCGATTGCAATCTGGAATGTGACCTGTAGAATAATAGTCAGAGGTCTTAGGTCAGAAATAAAATGTAATTGAATTCTTTGATCCTAGGCAAAGCACTGGGCGCACTGAAACATACCTGCATGGAAGTGAAAAGTTATAGGTCAAAATTAGGAAGCATATAATATGGACCTAACATGGTCCAAAATACAAATGTTTGAGCCAGCCTGGTCGAGTTAAATTGCATTTCTGATAGTTCGGCAAGTTTGATTAAGAGGGAAAGTCGCATTCAAAGGAAAGATGTTGTAAGCCAAACGCTTTATGGACGAAAAAAGTTCTTCTGAAAATGTAGGCTGCACAGCAAGCCTTGAGGTAAACGTTGGAACAAACATGTTCCAAAGTATAGTAGGAACAGATTCTCCCTGCTCCGCATTATCGAACTTGAGACAAGAGAGGTCAGAGGTCAAAGGTCAAAGGCCACAATCCCAGCACTGTTGCAAACATATAACGATCATTTCCTTGAATTAAAATATTTCACAGCAAGTCATAAGGTCCCGGGCAGACGTAAATGCTGGTGTAAAAATTACCTTATCTCCGATCTGCAATGGCTCTTTCTTATTAACGAGGCTGGTAATACCAAAACTGTAAAGAAGTGGCACCGCTTCATCTTCACATTCATTTGCTTTCGATGGGTCAGTTATGTCAATCAGACCCTCGTATTCATCTTGCTGTTGATGCAAAGAATATATCACGTATAGAATATTGAATATAGTTGTTAAAAAGCACGAACATTACTAGAGGGGCTTTTAGGGGTTTTTGAGGGGGGGGGCTTGAAGGCAATCACACAAAGAAAACAAGAAAATCTCGCTCATCTTTGATAGAAATCCTAATTTTTTATCGTAAAATCCCTGAAAATCCTTTTGTTTTTGTAAAAATCTCGTACGTCAATTGCAAGAGTGAATGGCCCCTCGGGTTGACCTCAAGGTAGGTCTGACGTCATTATTTTGGAATAGAATGTCACCATCAATTTTGCTAGTAAATGCTACCAAAAAGAGACAGTGGTACTTTTTGGAATACCTCTCATTTTGAATACCCAACTTTAACAATATGGGGGGGTTGGAGGGGGGTGGTAATATTATCTTCGACGCCCCATAAATCTGGCCTGTAAAGGATTTAGAAACAACAGATTTAGAAGTTGACAAAATGATCATTTGACTTAAAAATCCAATTCACCTCAACAACAGAGATTCCGAAAAATAATTCAATTGAAGGGCAAAAAGAATTGGCTAGGTTATCACAGAAGTTTCAAATTGAAAAAATCACACCAATTTACGCCTAACGATCAGGCAACATCTATACGAATTTTAAAGAATCACTCCAAAATATAAATCGTTTTTATCAATAGAACATGTTTGAAATTTAAACCTGTCTCCATCTCAAGAAATTGCGTCAACAAGAGGCTAGTCAACTCACTATTTAGTACTTTACATTTATGGGGAATACTAAGCAAGGGGACTCACCTCTGGATCCCAGATTCTTATGGGCTTCATAACTACACCATCTAAAAACTCTGGAAGTATGTTCTAGAAATAGAAAAATACAAACGTTGTTCAAGAAACGCCATTGGTATACAACAAATTCTAAAAGATATTTCATTTCCTTTTGGTTTTAGAACATTCATTCAATCGTACATTAATTGTCATTTATCTGTTGGCTTCTCAGACTTTCGTCCAGCAAAACCTCTTGCGAATTCTTCTCCTAACGCCAAACTTGCGACTTCCCGTGTCGGCTAATAGCCCTAAAACTTCCCATTATTTGAAAATAAAAACAAAATTAAACTTACTTCTTGTACAATTGACCCGTTAGGAATTTTAGTTATTCTCTCTCCGCTAATTTTTCCGTTCTTTTTGGACACCGAAAACTCAACTTCGTCGCCAAGAACAAGCTCATTCGGGTCACAGTTAAGCTCACTGAAAATCAAGGTTAAAAATTAAATTTCAAATTAACAAATATTGAACAAGAAAGTTTAGAAATTTTTTAGAAATAGGTTTGGGGTGGGGGAAAAGGCAGAAATGCTTGCAAATCCGATAACTGAGGGAAAGAGTGGTGCGTTCGATCGTTCTATTGTTGGGCCAATCGTTGATTAATACACCTAAATGAAGAGCAAAATTGAAAAAAAAAGAATTGTGCGTCTGCACAAATACGAATTTATCTTTTAAATTTGATAGCAGAAGCTATAAAGCTATCCTAATCTGAAAATTTTTCCTACGGCTGATCCACAATGAAAATATTACAGGACAATCTTAAGTGACAGTCTTAAGTGACAGTTCTCGGTGACAGTCTTTAACGACAGTCTTAAATGACAGTCTTAAGTAACTCTCGTAAGTGACAGACCAAAGTGACAGCCTTAAGTGAAATTTTCAAGTGACAATCACAAGTGACAGTCTTAAGTAACTCTCTTAAGTGACAAACCAAAGTGACAGTCGTGGGTGTGAGTCTACAATGACAGCCATAAATGACATTTTAAAGTGACAGACCAAAGTGGCAGCCTTGCGTGACAGTCTACAGTGACAATCTTCGATGACAAACTAAAGTGACAAGCTTAAGAGACAGTCTTCAGTGACAGTCTTAAGTAACTCTCCTAAGCGACAGACTAAAGTGACAGCCTTGCGTGACAGTCTACAGTAACAATCTTCGATGACAAACCAAAGTGACAAACTTAAGAGACAGTCTTCAGTGACAGTCTTAAAGTAACTCTCCTAAGCGACAGACTAAAATGACAGCCTTGCGTGACAGTCTACAGTGACAATCTTCGATAACAAACCAAAGTGACAAGCTTAAGAGACAGTCTTCAGTGACAATCTTAAAGTAACTCTCCTAAGCGACAGACTAAAGTGACAGCCTTGGGTGACAGTCTACAGTGACAGCCTTCAGTGACATTTTCAAATGACAATCTTAAATGGGAATCTAAGTGACACTCCCAAGTGACCGTCGAGCGTGACAGTCTAAAAGTCCCAGTATCAGCATCCTTGCTAATACGACACAAACAACACAGACAATTTATCAAGATACAACCTTACCTGTAGTGAAAAAACAATTCTTTTTCATGATTAGCATATTCAATGAAGCCAAAGGATTCCTTTAAAGCACAAATGAAACCATAATGGCGAGTTGGCAAACTCTTTTGTGTTACTGTGACATCTCTAGCAGCAAATTGACCTGTCCTTTTAAACGTGAGCAACTGAAATTTCACCTAAAAGAAGAAGATTGTCATACGGAAGTGATAACGATACATAAAAATTAAGCAATTTAATAGACCAATTCGACTTACGACCTCGTTTTGGAAATTTCTCCAAACTTAATTATACGACTTTTTAAGCTCAGATTTGGTTTTATCGTCATAATTTAAGGCGGGATACCATTTTTCATACTGTTTGAGCTTGTATTCTAGATTTAGCGGAGAAATGAAGTTTGAAAACTTGTAAGGGATTTGACCGCAAAAATCATTCCGGGGGGAAACTTTACCCCCCCCCCCTCTAGTTGCCAATCACGGTCAAATCCCTTAATAAAATTTTCATCTTTATATCGTTATAAAACCAACATCGTCAGCAATACCAGAATGAAAATTTCGAAGTAGACTAAAATCATTGCTCTCAATCCGAATCTGAAGTCACAAATTTTGTACAAAAAACTTTGAAGAATTTTTCAAAACGAGGCCGTAAGTCGAATTGGTGTATAGATGTAGTCTGGATACAATTTTTCATATTGCTTGTGCTTATATTTGAGATTTTACGGAGAAATGAAGTTTGAAAACTTGTAAGGGATTGACCGCAAAAATCATTCCGGGTGAAATTTTACCCCCCTAGTCGCCAATCACGGTCAAATCTCTTATAAATTTTTATCTTTATGTCGTCATAAAAAAAAATATCGTGAGCAATATCATAATGAAAACTTACAAGTATACTAAAATCATTGCTCAATCCGAGTCTGAGGTCAAACATTTTGTACAAAAGAATTTGAAGATTTTTTCAAAACGAGGCCATAAGTCGAATTGGTCTATTGGCTTAGTTGGTATTGTACACGGTTGGTATGTGGTAGCAGTTTTGGCATAATAATAACAAGCGTAAAAAACCCATAAAAATTCTTACAATGTCTCCATACTGAGGGTTTTCCCCCAGCTTGCAATCCTTGGCTCTGTAGAGGACAGGGGTCACTTCTGATTCTCCTGTGTACAGAATGATCCCTGTTTCGCCATCCCTTTAAGAATGGAGAAAGTAGAAATAAGTTAAGGTCGTGAAGGTATGAAATATCCGATTAAAAAGTAAAGTTTAATGTAAAAAAGAAAGGAATGATTCAAAACTTTAACCCACAAAAAGGAAAACTTTAGCCCACAAAAAGATTCAAAAAGAAAATTATGTAGGAAAGAGATAAATAAACTCTATCCTAATAAAAGCTTCAGAACGAGAACTTTCGTTAGTTCAGGTTATCAAAACAATCAAATCAAATTATTCTATCTTGGAAGTTTATTAAAATATAGAAATTTAACTCCTGTCATAAAGTTACCAAAATGTCGCAACAATACAAGCATGCAATCATAAGAGAAACAAAATTTGAAAAGTGATTAAAATAATCGAACAAAATCGCTTTTATGGGGTATGCCTGAAATGAAGAAGTTGATTACGAAATCAAGGGTGAGGAGGCAATGGTATTCATGAGTTAACTCTACAATAGGCTTGAAGAAAAGTCATCGCTGCACTGAAACAGAGCTTGAGGAACAATGAGTATGTCACGGTCAGACAAAGATTGGCTCGAACAGAAGGGAATAGCGCCAGTGTAAGGTAAAAGTGACAAGATTTTCCTGTTTTTAACAAATTTCAAACGTTTGGCGCAAAATAGTGCCAACAGGTATGGGAAAGTGAGGTATCCTGAAATGCACCTGCTTATTTTGGATACCTGTTGCATACCTCTGGCTGTTACATCAATTCAAAGAACTCCGGCATTTCAACAATTTTTTTATTGTCATTGCTTAAAGGCACTATGTTCTTACGCATTTCGCAGGCTAGTTACATTCTCATTGGTTAGACTATACAATAGACCTATTGTTACGGAGCCAATCGGCTAATCTTCATTGTTTTCTCGATTTTAAACACGCTGCAAAGGCCATTGATAACTCTAAAAGGTTGACAGACGGGAGATACAGTAGAATCCCGTTATAACGTACTCGATTATAACGTACTTTCGGATATAACGTACTGGTGTACTTGGTCCCGGCAAAAGGAATGCTTGGTTTTAGTCAACTTTTACTTACACTCGTTACAACGTACTTCGGATATAACGTACTTAATACGCTGGTCCCTTAAAGTACGTTATAACCAGATTATACTGTAGTAACTTTAAGACGCTAGAAATTAATGAGATTCACTCCATAGAAAACAACGCAAGAAGAGAATTTGCGAAATGGCCAACCTTTTGTTTCCTCTTCCCATAGGCTCTTTGTCAACGACACCTTGGCAATCTTCAAGTGTTACAACCTGAAAGAAATTGGATTAACATCAAGCTTATGACAAAGAAAACCGAGGCAGATTTTCAGGTTGCATGGAGACAAAACGTGTGAAAACAGAATTCATTTCTTAAGCGGTGGAACTAAACAAGAGTTGATTTTTCCTATGAGGCGGACCTTTTAAACCAAAGTCAGTTTAACGTGATTTCTCGCCAGTTCTTTAAGGTTGGAACGGATACGCTGAAAGATTGGCCACGCAACTTAATATTTGTACTTTCGATACGGAATGAACAAAAAGTCAAAAAACGTAAAACAGAGTCAATGTTTAAAAAGAAACAAAAATTAAGCATTCCTGCCTTTCTGGATTTTAATGATCCTAATTCATGTTTCAAACTGACATTTTGGTCAATATAAGTACAAATATTAATATCCAAAAAAGAAATGAGGGGTCAAGGGTCAACTTTCCTGAGGGGTCTAGGGTCAAAGGCTGAACTCACTTCCATGTTAACTGATCCTTTTGGTAAAAGTCTGATTCTCGTAGCTCTGGGCTTTCCTGAATGAGCATCCTACAAATTTAGAAACATTAAATCGTTTAAAAAATATGAAGACTCGCATGGATGTTCAAATGTTTAGGGTCTCCTGAGGGTTTTCGGGAACAAGTCAACATGGCAATAGATGGCACAGTAATACGGGTACAATTTAAATTTTCCACTAGGACCATGGGTGCATTATTACTAGTTTAAGGGGAAAAGGGGACATCTTTTTATTTTTAAACGGGAACATGGGAACATTGGTTGCTTTTTCAAAGGGAACACGGGAGCAAGTCCCCCCCCCTGGGAGACCCTAAATGATCGTGAATTTCTGTAGGAAGCGGTTTTGGGTGTACCACAAAAGTAATTAGGTGAAAGTAATTAGGTGAAGCAACAAACGAATAGAGGATCAATAACTGTAATACTCTTTTTTTGGATAACAATAGACAAAGCCTGGTTTTCTCAAGGTCAGAGGTCAAAGCACATGGGCCAAAGTTTGCTAGCATACCTGTGCAATGGCAAATTCTGCTTCATCGCCAACACTGATGACCTTTGCCTTCAAAATAAATGCAAATTGTTTCAAAGTTATAAACGAAATAAAACTTTTGAAAAAGTGCCAATTCCACTATATTATTTAACTAACATAAATTATAGGCCAATTTGTATAGTTTTGAAAGCGGACACTCTAGAATAAAATATCTTTTCATTGAATGGAAGAACACTTTTCTATAGCAATACAACTGAGATTTACTTGCTTTTATCTCATTAGCTTATTTCTTAAATTCACGCTAAATGAAATATAAATAATTTTAAACAATTGAGTACAGAAGTACCAAAGTACAGAGGCTAATATTCGGGAAAGTACGAAACCAGTTTTCATAAAGAGAGAACCGGTTCTAACCTGTTCTAATAGTTCACTGAAATGAAAGAACAAGCTGAGATCACGGTCACAACATTTGATGAAGCCGAATCCATCCTTGAGACTTGAGATGATGCCCTACATAAGAAAGAAAGTGAACTGAGGTCAATAGTGAAAAAATTAGAGACGCAAAAAGTCATGGTTCTCTGGGATACCAATATATTGGAAGAACACCAATACCTTGGTATTCTATGGTTCAGAAAAAAGATTTTCCAGAAGAGAAAGAGAAAAAAGGAAGAATATTAAATTTTTCAAAATTAGAGCTTTTCAGAGCAATGCTCAGATAATTTTTTGCAAGCAAATAAAAGTTGGGCTTTCCCAAAGGACGTACCATTATATGTAAGGTCAGGATAACAAGTCAAAGATCAAAGGTCAATGACAAAATGCTAATCAAACGGCAGGAATGAGTTCAAAGATCGACAAACAGAAAAGTTCTTTAATAATGGGCTACCTCAAGATCGAACATAAAACAATACAGAAGCTAATAGTCGAGGAGTAAATATAAAAGATTCTAAATAAATTATCAATAAATAGCGAATAAACAGTAAATAAGTTTAAAGTTAAAGTAAGCTTACATTTTCACGTATTTCACCATTTTTGACAGAAACACAAACAAGTTCAATATTTACAGCTCTCTGCAGACCATCACGTCGATCTACAAAACGAAAAGCTTTTTCATGAAACAAGGCGATATGTCTAGATACCCTATTTCCTATAAAAACCGCTGCGGCGTTTATTACAAAATCCACCTTTCGGATCCGGCGTTTAATAAAGGGTGGCGTTTATCAGAGGAAATACGGTAATACATATAAAATAATACGTATCTAGCATCCAATGTTTATCTCAAGCTTGCTTTTGATGCCTTTAGTTGTCATCAACAAGACTTATTTGCTTATCAAGATGGCTGCTCAAAAATGCCTTGTGTTTTAAACGTTATTTTATAACCTGTTCAATTCATGTAACTATATGTCAGATTCCTCTAGAGCAGAGAAAAATTAGGGTGAACGGGAAGAAGGTCATTTTAAACAAAAGAATTCAGTTGAAAACACAGAAATCGCGTTTTATGAAGTAGGCTTTCAAAGTCTAGCTTCCTTACTGGAGGAAAGATGGTCACCATTCTGGGTTTTGAAAACATCAAATTGCTAGAACATGCGTTTAGAAAAGAATCTACCTTGTTTGCTCAATTAAAGCTCAATTCGTTTGGCAATGCCCACCACCCTATTGGCTTGGCAGACTTTTGTCTTTTAAAGACGAAGATTTTTGTCTTTTGCTTTTGAAGACACAAATCTGCCATGCGCGCTTGTCAAAGATCAAGCTTTTGTCTTTTAAAGACGAAGATTTTTGTCTTTTGCTTTTTGAAGACACAAATCTGCCACGCGCGCTTGTCAAAGATCAAGTTTTTGTCTTTTGAAGACAAAGTTGTTGTCTTTTGCTTTTTGAAGACACAAATCTGCCACGCGCGCTTGTCAAAGATCAAGTTTTTGTCTTTTGAAGACAAAGTTTTTGTCTTTCAAAGACAATCCTCAAAAGTGAACATGTTTATCAAAGACATTCTTCGAAGGACAAAGACAAAATGTGCGAATCACTGGAAGACAAAAATCTTCGTCTTTGAAAGACAAAATTCTGCCGTGTGTGCTGGGCTTAAAGGTTCAAAAAGCTTCACCTGTTGATATGTTGAACTCGACTGTATCCCCAACCTGCAGCTGAATATCACCTTCAGTATCCCTGTCACCAAACAAAACCTCTTTGGTATCATTTCCAGTATTATACTCAATAACGCCAGATAACTGGCCTTCAAGTGAATTCCGTGGACTCAGTCTCTGAGATACTGACTTGACAACCTTGCCGCGGAATTTTTCCTTTGAGATATCCTCAAATGCAACTGCACCTGCAGCAAGTTTCGAGACACGGATTGCTACTTCTTTGTCCTGTTGAAGGTCAAGGGTAAAAGTCAAACTTGAAGGTCAAGGTTGAAGGTCGAAATTAAAGATCAAAATGAGTTGCTTCATTGGAATGGATGAAAAAACCCTTTGCAAGCAGAAACGGGCACTTTGTCGAATAATGGGGAGGACGTGGGCAAGCCTAATGTTTTGATAAGATGGCATCAAATTTCCTATAATTTTAGAACAAAAGACCTTTGTCTTTCAAAATATTGGGGGGGTGCTCGGTGTCCGCCACTGTTTGCAGGTCATGTGACAATAGGCTTTATTGGGCAATTGAGTGTTGATTCTTCTAGTCGGACTCTTTTGCTTTTTGTTAATCACTGAACTCAGATAATGACTAAAGGTGAACCGAGCTTTGTATCCAGTCAAGATGGGGATCGTAGAAAGCAGCGCGAGAGAACGAATGGCGTGTTTGATTGGTTACTTCCTAGCCGTAACTGACCCGCATTGGATTCGCATCTAGCTGTAAAGATCTGCCTACTTTTAGGCATTATCCGATTTAATTTCTGAAAAGGGTCAGGCAAAGAGTACTTAAGTATGCTATGGTTCCGTTTTTCCTGCTTTCTTCATGTTTCGGAGTCCCAAAAGCTTATCAAACCTACCTTTCTTTGCTGCATTCCGAACTCAACATCATCACCAATCGTTAACTCGTTTATATCTCCTTGAAATTCGCTGTAGTGGAAAAAAATCTCCGAGACGACATCAGCACGTTCAATGAACCCAAAGCTGTCTTTCAAAGAACTAACGATGCCTTGACTTTTCGGTTTTTCTGCTGGCTCAATCAGCACAAGCTTCCGGGCTTTCAGAGTTCCATTTCTAAGAAACAGAAGACAGTTCCAAGAAAAAAAGCACATTTACTGATACTGTTATGCTTCTATTTACTTCCTGTTAATTATTTGCTTTAAAAAACTATAGAAATTATTTTGGCTTCCAGAAATCGTTACTGAATACTTTTAGGGTTCCATTTCTTAGAAATCGAAGACATTTCTACGAAACAAATAAACTCTTTATCGACAAATATTTATTTTTGTTAAACTGTTACTTTGCATGTTTAAACAGGCAACAAATCTCAGATTGACCTGGGATTCAGAAATAGCTTTTGAACATCATGCAGGGCTTCGGTTTTAGCAAAAAGACATTTTTCCGTAAGCAAAATTATTTCCCCCTTTACGTCATACACGACAAAAGCATATTTACCTATGGTTAAAAAGGACAAACATTAAAGATAAAAAAATATCAAACAACATATTCGAGAGGGCCGTCTCTTGTATCGTGGACTTGTTTTCATTGGTTAGTCATATGTTTTTTTTTGGGCAAACCCTCTCCCCCTTTTCATGAAAATCTTTGTTTGACCCTGAAGTCTTAAAAAAATGCTAGCAAGGAAATTCACAAAATGTTGTATCAGCTCATCAGGGGCGGACACTTGGTAAATTATCGGGCGGACACTTGGCGGAGCAAGCCTATTGTTATGATAATATGACGTCATTTCACATTGTTTTAAAAAAAACACATAGTCCACCAAAACATTGGGGACAAGCACCCCACCCCCTTGTCCCCCCTTGCCCCCCAGGTGTCCGCCACTGCAGCTCATGGTCAAACACAAAAAACCAATTTGGTTGTACTTATAGAGATAATTTTCTGTATGTTAGTTGTAAATCAAGCTAAAAAAGGTGATAAAAAAATTTTGGTCAAATTAGGAAAACTAAATACCTCTTATCAGTTGCAATAAGAAACGAAACACGATCGCCCTTTGTGAGTGTTCCTCCTTTCTCAATATCACGCAGTGCAAAGGGAAGGAACAACACTTCCTGGAATAGAATAATACATAAAGTGAGTTTCGAGAAAAAGAAGGGTTATCCCCCACAAAAACCGGCTTCGATAACAGCCAAACTTGAACAGCTCTTATCTACAAGGTTTGTTCTAATGACGAAATTAGTCATTGATTATTCGGCCCTATACAGCTTTAACTCCTTTTTGGGATACTAGAGAAATATGACACAAAGCGATCAATTTCACTGACTGTACCGCCCAGTTAATTTCCTTGACCGTAATGTCAAGTCCTTTCCAGTCTAGAGTAATATGACATAAAGTATGTGGGTAATTTTCATGACAGCTGTTCGCTTCTGCTTTCAAATAAAATGCGATGATGATTAATAGGCCCTTAATCTCAATTGTGATGCAGTTACATCTTCTTCAGTTTATCAAGCAGTAACACGGGCATGGGTCTTATTGCAACATCTATTTCAATGTAAAAAAGAGCCCTGAGAATCATACACAGAGATAGTACTTCCAGTTTTGAACAACTTTTAACTAAAAGTAACTCAGTATCTATTCATCTGGAAGAATTTGCAGCTGCTCCTAACAGAGATATATAAAACCGTAAACAACTTGAATCCGTCTTTTATGGCGAACATATTTGTTACTAAATATGTACCATATGCCCTTCGTGGCGGTAATAATCTTGTTTTGCCGAGGGCTAGGACGAATTCATATGGTATTGATACTATCAGATTTATTGGTCAAAAATTATGGCAGACTTTGCCAAAAGAAATTAAAGAGTCCCGATCAGTAGAAATATTTAAAAGAAATATTAAGTCATCAAAAGTTTGGACTGCAGCTGCAAATTGTGCGAAGATTTTCTTCCAAATCCAAGGTTTTTGTAATTAATATATTTTGTAAATTGTAATTAGTAAATTTTGGATAGTTGGTCTTAATTAGCTAAACGCTATTTTCTCCGCCAACTCTAAATATATTGTTGATTGTTATTATTTTATTATTATTATAGAGGAAACAATTTCCTTCCGATATATACCAGCCACCCTTAAATCGTTGCTTACAACTTCAGTTAATTCATGAGCTGTTACATGAAGTATCAAAGAAATATACAAACCCCGCTACGATCATAGCTGACATTTCCAAGGCACGGCTCTGATGACGGACCGGAGGAGCTGGGCCGAGCCTCGGTTTCAACAACCCCGATAACGGGGCTGTCACAAAATGTATCAATTGCAACAGATCCGGCTGGAAGTGGCCGGACCCGGACGGCAACGGTCTTGTTGCTCTTGTAGTCAGATGTAGCTGTAAATTCAACAGGATCTACAATGGAAAAAACACAGGTTTGTAATCCGGTATGTTATAGTCCGGTATTTTGTCTGGTGCTCGATTCCCGGTCTGGTAAGAAAGCCGGTATCAATGTCAGAGAAACAATTTGTAACAAATATAACTGATTCTATGTCTGTAAAAGTTGCTTGGAAAAAGCAGAAATTTTACAACATGCCTATACTGATTTGACAACTGTACCGGTCGCGTTTGACATGTGCTAGCGTTTTTCTGATTGGCCTATTTCGATTCACAACTGGGTATATATTTTCCATTTTGTTCTTTCGATTAAACTCCTTATTCTGACGTTTCATACTCTGATGACTGTCAGACAAAAAAAGCTTTCAATGTGCTGTAGAATGCTTGTTTCTTCAAAACCACTTTCAAATTTTGTACCGCGAAAAAATTGCATGTACAAGTATCCTATGATGCTTTTCAGGTGATGAGATCCAAATTCGAAATTTAAGAACTAGACTTTATGACGTCATCACTTGGGGAGCTATACAACTGAAAGACATACCTCCAACTTGCAAAGCTTGTGGGTCTCCGTTAAACTCACTGTAGTGAAAAAATATCCTTGCATCTTGATTTGTGTATTCAATAAATCCATAGTTGTTCTGAAAAGCAAGACGGTAAGAAATACACTTCAAACAGCTGTTGATATAAGAGCTGTCAATTACACTGACTGATACCAGGGCAGAAGCGAATCATTTCAAGCACCAAAAAAATGTTCTTCCCCACGAAAAAAACTGTAAAAATTCCACAACCCCTTGAAACTATGCAAAAATATTTCAGACCCCAACTTTTAAAGCTTCTCAAAAATTGTTTTCTTCTGTAGCTGTCCCAATTTGGAGTTAATTATTCTAGCAAGAAATTGGGTAGAATAAAATTGTCAGGAGAATGGAGACTTTTTTGCAAAGAGACATGAAGCCACTGCAGCCCATGATGATTCTTTTCAACATCTGTCCCTGCTGATTTTGAGGAGCCATAAAAATTTATAATTTTGCTAAGAATCTGAGATAACTTTATACCCAAAGTTAATACCCAAATTTCTATCCCCCTTACAAACTATCTTAACAAAATTCCATACCTTTGTAAGTTCGCTTCCGCCCCATTACCGGTCAGACTTAAAGACAGCTCCCTTAAATGACAGACCTTCAAGCCCGATTTCTTTACAACAGAATAAAGTAAAACAGCAATTCCCTGCTGATCGCTTTGAGTCTGAAACTCGGAGTTGCGATTAAGAGCCGTCCTGTTCTATACACCAAACTCTAGCCCGTTTATGCAACATCATACTCACGTGATACTACCGGAAAATATTGTCTAAATCTAGGCCGGTGCCTAAAGAAAATCCAACTTGTGAGATAATATATTATAATTCATGCATTCTACCACACCACTAAGCAACTCCTGTAAGCAATTGATTACCCCAAGGTCATGCGCCGAAGAGGTTTATCAAAAGGCCTGTCAATGCATTGGTCGACGAGAGAAAGGACTGGGCACCACCCTATTCCCAGGACTCGAACTACAACAGATGTGTCCATTCACAGCGCACATGTCCAACACAAAATAAACCCAGTAAGGCCCGGTTTAACCAATGAATTTTTGCAGTGTCAAAATAAAGTGAATCTTATTCGGCAATTGTGCGACTAAATGCGACAGTTGTTTTAAACGTGAAATAAAGTTCTGCTGCATTCTCCCGGTCATCACAAGCGCATGCGCACAAGACATTCATATTTAGTGCTTTTACTAAACTCCGGTATCAACATTGAATTTGCGGGGAGTAGACACAGATTTTGAGAATGGCAAGCAAAATAAGAGATGGCTGTCATTTCATCAATGGACCAGGCAGTCTTTAGAATTAATTCAACGCGGCAACTACGCGTTTAAATTAAATTCAACGTTTAAAACAAGTCGCAGCGCTGGTGTACTACCTCCGCATTTAAATATTTGATGCGGGCGGGTGAATTAAACGACGTGTTATAGTCTCATTTAATTGACACTTGGTGGTTTTCTGGAGAAATAATCTAATTCGACACGGCAGAAATTCGATGTTTAAACTAGGCCTAATATTTTGCCAAAGCGATATTGAGAAAATGATATATTTACCAGCAATTTTTCGATGATTCCAGTTTCCCTTTTCTGTGGCGGTGTTGAATTGAATGATGACCCTCTATGGCGGTTGTTGCGGTTGTGCGTTCGTTCGTTGGCATGGTAACCATTGTACATGTTTCCGTCGTGATTCTTGAACTAGAAAATTGAGACAGACTTCAAAACAAAAAAGATAGCAGGTAAAAGATATCTGTTGAATGAGCTATCCCCCGTCTTGACAGTCATGGATCATTGGATGTGAATGGAACATTTTGATTGAAGATGGGGGTGGCTCACTTATTCCAAGGCTTGCTTCTCAACTTTGAACAAGACAGAAGGATACGAAAGATCATTGTTGTGAATCAATACCAATGAACTTTAACCTGACCGATAAATGAACAATTGTTTCATCGAACCTTACATTCGGTATGACGTAATCAAGGCAGAACAGCTAACTTAAGTTCGTATTTTCAATGCCAATTGCTCGATTAATTTAAGGTTTGAAAACTTTAATTTAAGTCTTTAAAGAATTTACAAGTTTGGCTCGGTTTGGTATACACTTCATCACTTTACTTCTTAATTTTCTTGTGCCTCAACACCTCTCCTGTTTACAAAAATTAACCAAATGGAAGGGGATCTGGAGCCAAACTTTGAGACAGCCGGTCAGGATCTAAGCTTTTGTATAAATTCGACCGGATCTTTCCTCTTCCGAGCACTTTCCAAAACAATTTTATTTAATAACATTAAATTTGAATTTTCAAATTTTATTCTATCGCAAGTCGTACTTCTAAGACCCTTACTTTCGAACTAAAAAACCTGGAAAATTGCAAGTTTTTTAGAACCGGATCAGGTCTATTACATTTATAATAAAGTCTTACACACGAGTACAAATATTTGAAAGACCAATCATATCAACTGGAATCCTATAACGTTTCTAAGCATACATCTTTTTGTGGGCAAATCCATTGAGATCCGGTTAATTTACAGTAAATGCCTACATGTACCGGCTTTGGTCCGGACTCATCTGTATTGTTGCAGCGAAAACAACCAGCGGAGTCCGTAACAGTTTCAATATAGGACTTTTAAGAAAGGCCAGATAATTTTAACATGGCAATAGCAATCCCGAGCAAAATAATGCAAGAAAGTTGGGGATTTGCAAAACATGGGCAAAGTCACGTGCTGACGATGAATGAAACCCTTTAGTCACAAGAAAGTTTAACGAGAAGAAGATGTACATTGCAAGGTCTTCTGGTTTGTTACAGCTGGGAAGATTGTGTACATCGCTACCAAAAAATAATAGTTTGATGCCGATTTCATATGTCAGCTGTTTCTTGCGTGCAGTAAATGCCTCGAATTCGCTGTCCATGTCACGACCTGAACCTAAAGTTGCCTTTAAAAACAAACCACGGGAATATAAACTTTAGAACGCGAAGCTGTCGTTCAATGTAGGACACACGCTTCCAAACGGCCTAGCTAAGAGAGAGATTTAAGTGAAGGGACGTGGTAGCAACGTGACATTCATAATGCATCGCTATTGGTCGGTGCTGTCACTTCTCTTTTTAGCAGTGGCACTGACTTCAAGCCGGTATATAAAAGATAAACGGGGCGAAGAAAACGATAAAACGAAATTAGATGAAAAGCAAGTCACAAAACTTAAGTTTGGGATGCTTGGTGTTGTAATCAAAAAGAGCGCCGAACTTATCCCTACCGTGTCAGGTTGGAAAATGCTGAAAAAAGGTGGCAAAGTTAAAGAGACAAACATGAATCCTGCAGGAATTCTCAATCCGGAATGGGAAACAGCGCATTCAAGTGACGGCGCGGACACTGAGACAATGCACAGACTGCTAGACTGTGGTGATAATTCAGAAGCCGGATCAAAAACAACAAATCCGGACGATATACTTTTTGAAGCATCCGGATTTCATCAAGCACCGTGCAAAAAGAAGTCAGTGGTCCGGAATTTAGTCAGACACAACAGCTCAATGATATGTGCGGAAGGAGTATGTGGGGAAGATAACAAAAACGGTAAGCAGTGAATTGCGGAACAATGAGAGTCATTTGACTTAAAAATATAAATCCTTTCGAGTTTAGGTTGTATGAGCATTCACCTTTTATATATAATTTCACTGAATCGCATAATGCATTTAAAATATCTACTACCAAAAGAAACTTGACATTGAAACGATACGTGATTCATCTTCGGTACAAGTTTATCTTTTCAAAGAAACCACTGCATTGCTCACCCGCTATCTTAACGAACTGCTTGAAAGTCCTGCTATTAAAAATGGCGTGTAAATTATTGTTTTCGACAATTAGGCATTATTGTCTGTTAAGTTGACATATATAACAAAAAGAGAGCTCCTTATGGTACATTTGGTGTTTCATGTTATCTCATGTCACGCCTTTTTGTTTCTAAAAAGAAGTTTCTAGCATTTGCAACTTTCAGCACTGAAATCTACAAAATACGGGAGGCTTTTTATATTGTTAACTTAAAAGGTTTATTTTACAAAACATAAATTTGTTACTCTGACAACAGCTAACATAGCAACAACAGCAACAATCGAAATCCCTACAACAACAACAACCATTACGACAACAACAACAGCAACAGCAACAACAACTGAAGGCGAACGCAAATCAGTTGACAAGAGAATGTTCGTCTCAAACAATACAAAGACACCGACAACTGGTATCTGGACAACTAGCCAGACAACCAAAGCGGAAATTAACACACCGGAAGTCGAAACCAAAACCAGCCATGCAAATGAATTGAGAAGAAAGGGATGGCAAAACAGCACACACACAGTTGGAACTACCCCAACAACCACAGAAACGATGCCGTCAACAACTACCAAAACAAAGAAAATTGAGGTTACCACTTCAACTAGCAATACGGAAACAGAAACTGGAAATTCAGAAACCAGAAAAAGCACACAGTCTACATGGTATACAACAATGTCCACAGCAGGGAAGATCAGACCGGAAACAGAAGCCGGAAAATCAGAGACCGAAAAAATAACACACTCTACATTGTATACAACGAAGTCAACGACCGGGAAAATCAGGCCGGAGCCAGAAACCGGATATCCGGAGACAGGAGAAAGTGCACAAGCATACACAACCATGACAACAACAAAAACAAATACTATGAAACCGGAAACGGAAACTACAATCATGTGGACAAAGGAAATGGAAACCAGTGAAACTGATTCATTGGTTACGGTGGCAGCTATCAGCACAAAGGGAAGACGGAAACCGGAAGACAAAACTGAAACTTCCAATGACGTCAGAGAGGAATTTTTGAAGAAACCATGCATTGATCCTAAAGGTAAATTTGCTTGTGAATTTGATTGCTTGATTTGAAGTTTGTTGCTTGGTTCAAAAAGTTATAGGGTTTAAAGATTAGACGTTTAGGACAATTTGACCAAGGTTATAGAGAGAGAGAGAGAGAGAGAGAGAGAGAGAGAGAGAGAGAGAGAGATAGCATAAGTGCAAAGCTAAATTACCTTTCCACTGCCATCCCTAGGAGTAGTATTCTGCTAAAAGTGAACATAAAAGTGAAGTGAGCATAGTGCATCGGAAAATGACTAATTGTAAGGACAAATTTATATCCCGATAAAAGCCCCGTTATTTGGAGACAGAATTCCAATTCTAAGTTGGCTTCCAAACGAGACGAAAATTGTAATTTTTGGGACTAAAATAGACTGACTGGATCGTAGTTGATTGCCATTCACCTCAACAACTCCTCATCTCCAGATGATCTCTGGATAGTTTCGCTATACACACCACTTCTTGAAAACACCCTACGCTATGATATCTTAAAACTTACAAAATAGCACGGGGCGTTGAATATGAGCAAAACGGTAATCAACATTTTGCTTCTCAAGGTACTTTGGTGTACATCAAAATTAGAAAATTGCAGATATGCAATCCAACAAGTCAAGGCACGTGGATTGAGCCTTGCAGCACAGCATGCAATAAAGCTCTTGAGGAATATAACAATAGTTTACAGAGAATGAAAATTCAAGACAGGTGAGTATTTAATTAAATGTCATATTAAATATTTAATCGTATCAAAGTGTCAATATATTGCTAAAGAAAATTAACAATTTGGGTGAAATTCATATTCATTGGGTGAAAAACCCCAGACGATTCAAGCAGAGCAAAAAGGCCCATTGGAACATAAAAACTCGGAATCTGGTATTCTATTCCTTTCAATGAAAGCACTGATGCTTTACCAAAATGTGAATAAACTTGACGTTTTTGATGAAAAATCATGTTTATAAAACATCTATCAAAGCGAAAGAAAATTCTTGACGTTTTTTGTGCCTAAATGAGATCAATAAAGGCAAACGTTAATTTTGAATGTATTCCTTCATGTGTTGGTATGAAAATAGCCCATATGTAGATAGGGATACCAATAGCAGCTCAACAACAATCATTGAAAATTCAATTTCATCTGCTGAAGTAGTAACACTCTTACGCACGTTTGTCTTGACAAAAAAGTTAAGAAAGCCGCATGGCTGACACGGATCACCCTATGACGTCACACAGACTTTCGGTAGAAATCGAAGCGGCATGATAAACAAATTTAACGTTTCAGCCGTTAAGCTTTCCTAGGCCCAAAAACTGAGAAAAGTTTGTCGAAATTTTTCAGCACTGATGAAATGGCTGAGCATTCGAAATGGCAAAGCAAAGAAAGGAAATACAAAAAGCGCGTTTCAAACAACGACGATGCCAAGAATTACGAGGAAATTGGCGAAAAATATAGGCAAAGATACGATCCAACATACAGCTGGGGAAAGAAAGACAATATGTGGTCGTCTCGAAGCAGCTGGAGCGGGGGCGATACGAGATTGTCTTGGAAAAGCAATAAAGGCGTTGACTTAAGGAAAGATTACGAGCAACTTGGCGAAACCCATAGGAAAAGATACGAACCAACAGCCCCCTGGCGACAGGAGAGCGAAAAGGATTCGGCAAGGAATAGTGGCAAGAAAAGAAGCATTAATCTAGGTGGATATTACGAGAATCTTGGCGAAACCTTTGGGCGAAAATACGATCCTGTATACAAACAGAGCCATGGATATTACGATAAATACGGTCGTAATAACGAGAAGTACTACGAGGAATACTATCGCAAGCACAACGATGACGATAAAGAAGACCTTGATGATGATATTTGCGATAAGATTTACGACGATAATTACGTTGACCAATACAGGAAATTGTGCATTACGACGTTAGGCCAGTTAAAGGAACATAGAAAGAGAACATGTCGCAAAATGGCGAAACGTGCGAGGAAGAGCAGCTTCGAGTTGTGCCGAAGGGTAAGCGAATTTCAAGAACTAAATTCTTGTGCATCTAGACGATTTGTGATGTTTTAAGTTTTCTAGTAACCCTAAAACCACTGGTTGCAAATCGACTGAAATGTAGCCAGTGAGAGATCTGTGTTTAGCTTATAGCTTTCTGTTGTTTTGGCTTGGTTCCTAGATTTAAAAACAATACCAAATTTCAGGGTGAACTTAAAATTCAACTAAAGACCAGGGCATGAGAAAAAATTTTCCTTCCTACGACCAGACAAAAATCACGCATAAATTTCCTGCAAGAATAGGAAAATAAAAGAATAAAATGTCATGTGCCAAAAACTGTAATGATGTGTCACCAGTTAAATAGAATATAAAAGCTTAAAGGCAATCTGTCTCGTTGTGGATTGGTTAAAGAGAACAATAGCTGGAACAATAGCCTAAACATGATTCCAGCGCTCTGCCATATTTTTTATAATGCGATAAATTAAAAGGGGAGTGGAAACAATAGAAATCCCTTTGTTCTTATAACCAATCAACGTCGTGAAAGATTGCCTTTAACCAGTTTTACTACCACTAAAAGATCAGTTTCTGTTTTGGTGACTGAAAATTATAACTGTAAACTTTTATCAAACAATAATTTTCAAACACATTATCTAGGGTTCTGAGGATACCCATTTTAACCTGCACAAGGCACATATATAGGATACATTTGTTTTGTCTTCATGTTTTTTCTTTCAATGAACTTGAAAGAAACAAAGCTGCTCCCTGCGAAAGAGTCTATTTAAAAAAATTCCTGCAAAATTTTATTCATGAAAATTTTCCTGCGAGCGCCTGGTCACGTGGTTGGGTGGGTTTTCATGCCCTGCTAAAGACTTTTCAATGAAAGCAAAAAAACCCTTTCAACTGAAACAAAAAGAGGGTGTCATAGCCCCCTGACCCCAGCATCTCCGGGACCCTGATTTATTTGAACGGAAAGAGACTGTGCTCATGTGGCCATAATCCAGCTAATTCATTGAACTTATTTCATATTTTTGTTACTTTATAATGCTCGCTCAGGCTATTGGATCCATTATTAAAAAATGCTTGAAAAATTTTTTCATGTCATAATTTTGGAACATTTTTTATCTGGCTAAAAATAAGTAATATTTAAGATGGCCATTAAATGTCTCTGTATGGAAAATAAAATCGCTTACATCAACAGTAGAAAAGCAGATATTTTCTGACAAAGTTATCTAAAAACAAAGTCAAATCTATTCATCTGTTAATTCAACATTCATATCTTTTCTGTTTAGGTTATGAAAAAGAAAGTTGACATGAAAGCAAAAGTGTCAAAAGAACCTTATTCATGGGGAACTCATTTTTGGAGCATTTTCAATTTAACTGGAAAGCTTTTGAAGTTTAAACTTTGATCAATATATGTCTTAAACATGTATCCTATAGATGGAATATTTCTAAACTATTTTTTCGGATAAATTTTTTGCATGTAGGGTTAATGTTATGATTGTTCATGAAAATCACAAAATATATTACCCTATACATTGTCTCTCTTTTGAATGCATCAAAGTTTTCAATGGTGTAAATTCAGTTAAGAAAAGTTGTCTGCTGAAAAAAACCAAGGGCAGATAAAGATATTTCCTAAACAAGGCAGGGCAACCAATTTAGGCCCCATTCTCACTCATAAAGAATGGATGAAAATATAACTGCTGCAGTTCTTGATGAAAATGGCCTTGTGTTCACATTGATGCATTATGAAATCCAGGACTGCTGAACATAGTTATCCGCTGAACAAATGATGTCCAAAAACACCATTCCTGAAGCAGGGTCCCCGACACACATGACCCAATGTGTGTTTCTAGGAAGACTTTATCTAGCAACACTTTTACAATACCAAAAGATTGCAAAGTAGATTTTTGCAAGCACAGAGTAAGGCACTTTTTGTTTAGAACTTCGCATAATATGATAATACAGTCTCTAACTACTTTGTTTTCATATAATCAAGAACAAAATGTATCTGTATCAGTGGCGGACACTAGGGGGGCAAGGGGGGGTGACTGCCCCCCAATACTTTAGAGGACAATGGTCTTTTGTTCTAAAACAATGGGAATTGTGACATCATCTTATTAAAACAATTGGCTTGCCCCCCAATATTTGATCAAGTGTCCGCCCCTGTTCTGTATTGTGGCTCTGCACATTTCTCTACAATGAACATGGTTTCATTTGAAAACAAACTTTGAAAACAGACCAGAATGAAAATGGAATAAAATTAAGATTGCTAGTGTATTGCTTTCACAAAAGAATATGAATACCCATTTTTGGCAGCATTGCCAAAGATTTTTTTGGAAAGCCGACTGGCTTGGAATGGAGCATAAGAATCTTCTGAGGACCTTCAGGGCTTTCTTTATTCTGTTTTTATGATTGGAAGGCCAATCACCCTGATAAGCTCAACACTCTGGTAGTCCGCTGCTCTAGTCAAAGATTTCTTAACAAAAAAGGCCTCCTTGCAAATGATTATCAAACTAGCATATAATATTCCAAAGGGATATATGCTTAAAACACCATGGATTGGAATCTCAAAAAGACAATTAACAAAGACAATTGACAATTTAAAGCATAAAAAAGCACATACCTTTAGAGAACTCATTGTTGCTTTTGGTGTTTTCCCTACAAAACAATTGCAACTTGTTCAGCATGGCTTGTAAGGGGTTAAGCATATTATGATATGCAAAAAAAGTCCTGGTAATATGAAATTTTTCAGTGTGCTGGTAGTCGCACGCCTTGAAAAGTTTAGGCGTATGATGATGTGCGATCCATAAAATGGAGACCTTAAGATTTTTACGAAGACCTGATGTCATCTTTGAGTTAGAAGGTGTGTATAAATGAAATACCTTCGCCATTGATTGAAAAAGGCTTCATTTTCTTGGCCTAGACCAATTGCTTCACACATTTTGTGTCAATAGCCAGTACAAATGTGGAAATATAGTGTCTTTTCCATTTCCAGTAAATACATTTATAAAATACAATTTATTAAACCTATTGAAGCACCAGAGCAACTTCCGCCATTATTCCAATGTGCAAAAATGCACAATGTCCACTGTATTTGGTTTGCTTACAAAACTATGACACAGCCCCTTTAAGAATCAACAAATCTGTACATGTTTGCCATATTTCTGAAAATTGCTGATTTACACATCTTAAGGCAAATGGCAATTTTTTAACATGTTTCAAAGTGTTTGCTTTTTTCATAGCCATTTTAATGAGATCATCAGGCAATTTAGAACTGTGTGAATGAAGAAAAGGTCACTGTAGCAGGCTTCTCAACGGGCTCCAATGAGTTCTTGCGGCGCAAAGTTGATAAAAATGTAGCAAATGAGAAACACCGCAATACGCAGAGAATAAAAAACAATAAATACATGTAAATCAGTGAAGGCTAATATTTCGCCCTGGCATACGATCATCAGAGCAAAAGTCCATTTGCTACAATTTAGAACTGTCATTTTTTATAACCAAAGCATAAATAAAAACCAACCTTTAGAACTGACAGTGATTATTGTGTTGGTGTATCACTGATACCTGTTGTTGTGATCTTCGCTACCTTTTCAATGCTTTCCTTTGAAAATACACAAGAAAAGAAATCAGAAAAAATATTTGAATATCATATGCTCAATTTGCAAAATAAGTACTTGAAAAAAATTATAGACTTCACAAGCAAAACTTTCAAACTTTTCTCTAAAATTTTCATTCAAAAATACTTTATAAAATACAGTTTACTTAATCAAAACTTAACCAAACTTAATCATGACAAGTAAAAAAACTTAATCATGACAAAATCAACATGAACAAAACCACTAAATCAATAAATTTTGCCTTATTGGCAATATCAATAACTGAAGTAAACATTTTATCATAGCTTTTATCTATGAATAGTTCTTTGAATTACTTCATTTGTCTAGCAATTTTTTTATCCTGTGCATATTTGCTTTCAATTATCTAATAATATTTGCCAATATTCCTGTTCTACACTCTTTTTTTATAAGAACACAAGCCTCAAAACTGATCAAAATTTAAGAACAAATTAAGAACAAGCTGAGGCTGAGCTTCTGCAAAATGCAATTTTGAACGGTTTTTCTCAAAATCAATGATTTTTAGCGATGTGTCAGTGCTTTTCGGTGAATATTCAAATTTGTCAGCAAATTAAGGCTGTCTCACTCACTTTGTTGGCAAATAAATCCTGAACACAACCCTAGAGCGAAAAAGCTAGCAATAGCACTGCTTACACCCTCTTGATTTAACAATCCAGCCTCAGATTTTCGAAAAAAATTAAGAACAGTCAGCCTGAACTTAAATTTACTGGTTCTTATAAAAAAAGTGTATTTCTTAAACAAAAATAGTTTTTGAAGAGTAAAAAATTTTGACTTGATAAACTGTAGCAATAATCAATTAGGTTTTGATATGCTCGGTGATATGAGAGCTAAAAAAAGTAGCTTCCAGCAGCCATCGATATTTAAATCGCAGTTAACTGATTGCTTAGGAACAACGAAATTAAATAAAAAAAGTTTTAAAAAATTTTCCAATGATATGATAGATTCGCAACCCCTATATCTTATCTTTCTACCATTAGTCAGAAACTTTAGAGTCGAAACTGATTGTGTTAAAATTATGAAAAACAAAAAAGAAAGAAGCGACACAAATCAATTAGGTGGCACAGATCTTGATTTGGTATTCGATAAAAATTTCCTTACACTTGTGGTGGCCACGGAGGCCTTTTTAAAAATAATTCATTTTCATTTTAAGAAAATTAAACATCATCCAACATGGCCTAGCAGCTTTAACTTAATTCCGATAAAGCAATATAACGATTCAACGTACCTTCTTGCCCTGAAATGATACTTTCGTTTGAAATTTTCGATGTTGAAGTCATATGGTAGCAGTGTTGGGTCTATCCGCCATTTTGGGTCCTTTGGTGTTTTCTGATTTGACATGCGCGAGTGTAAACAATAGAATGTTTAACCGGAAATTGGTTCACAGATAACATCTGTATTGTTTCGGCTTAGCCAATCACAAGTAAGTTTGAACAATAGAATGTCATTCTGATCAACCAGACAGACTTCTGGGGTGACAAAACGGCCCAATCTTGTGAAACCATTTTTTCAGAGCCCTCTTTAAATCAGAAGGGGGGGCAGGGGGGCAATGAATTAATTTCTTGCTTGTTCTTCTACTGAAATAAAGTTTTTGAACCGCGAGCCGTTGAATTCAATTTTACAGCATGCAACATGGCCCTTAGTCATGGTAAAAAGTTTTGGCAAAAGGACACTCGATAGGAAAATTCAACCTAAATTGAGGAATCGCACTAATTTTTTAAATAGAACTTGATAATTTGATGCTAAAGCATCTCAATTTTGTTCTTATTTCAAAATTGACAAAATTCTAAACTAATTTTTATGACTTCATCATTTAAAGATGTGTTAGAAGGAAGAACCGCAGGACAGGCTGTCCCCCGGATTCTGTGAATCTTGCAACGAGTAATAAAACGAATATGATTAAATTAAATTTATCTAGATAATTTTATCTCATTACAGTCCATTCTCGTCGTCGTAATGCTTTGTTCCTGAATATATTGCTTATCATTTAAGAACTATATAAACAGTGATAAGTAATTCTAAGAAGAGAACAAAGATTGATATCAAATTCCAGGAAAAGGAAACAAGGAAGTAGACAACAGTGTAGTATCATTCATTTTTAATACAATTAAACACTCTAACATAAGATAATAACGACATCTTTTTTAAGTAGATGTAAAAAGATTTTACGTCAAATTCTAAACTTCAGGAGCAAAAGAACTAAAAATAAATCAATAAATTGATATATCAGATAATTTGCGGGAAAAATGAAATTTTGAGAGCAATAAAATTGTAAGTATTTGGAGAGTTTGGGGCGAACAAATCTGGAAATAAATAATGACATTTTGGATAAAATTTGAGAATAAAATTTGAACTGTTGGGAGCAAGCAAATGGGGAATACCTCAATGATTTTTCATGATAATTCGAGAATAAAATTGAAAACAAGAACTTTAGGCGAAAGCCAGAAAATTCGGCGGTGCTTCGATTAAAGGTGGCAATTGCGAACGGTACATCGCGTAGACTTAAAACTCAAGACTAAAGCAAAAGGAAATTTTGATACAAAAATTATTCATTAGGAAATGCCCGTCATTGGCGAAAATTGGGCGAAATGCTACATAAATTTGCACATTTATTCTTAGGCCACATTAATATCGCAGAATGCTGTGTACGGAAAAATTAACTGGATCACAACTTGTGACGAAATTATAGAAAAATTAATCAATTACAATAACAACCTCGTTTCCAACTTAAAAAGAGGCTTGTTGTCATAGCGACTTGCTACTGTACTAGGAAGTGAAATACATTAAAAACCCGTATAATAAGCCTGTTTTTTATAAGAACCTTGAGGCTGAAGTTTAATCTGTTAAACCCTATAACTAAGAACCCCAAAGAGGCTAAAATTTGGAAAGGTTCTTATATAAAAAAAAGTATTTTGGTATTTTTAGACCCTATTCAGACTGGCAAATTGAACCAGCTCAGAGTAAATCAGGTTATGGAATGTTGCATTCTAATTGGACAACCCAACAACACAAATTCATTTGATTGGTTGAAATTTATCATGAAAAACAAAGTTTGTATAAATGTGTCCGTTAGAATTCTTGCGGTGGAAAACATTGTCAATGTGTGCAAGGCTTGTACATATATAAGAACCTTGTTAAGAACCTTTTAGACTGGAATTTAGAATAGCAACCTGTTAATTAGGAACCTATTCAGGCTGCCAGAAAAAAACCTAGGTTTTTTATACGGGTTTCTACTGCATAGCAGCCATCAAATATAATCCTACTTTCCTAAGCTAAAAACACAAAAAACACTAACTATTTGAATATAGAAATAACACAAGCTATAGCTAAATAATTGACACCCGGTTAAATAACTACGAAGCAATAATCTACAAATACTTTTTATCATATTCCGGGGGTATGAAACGTGAATTTCTAGCCTTCTACATGAAATACTTTAGTTATGTAAGTCGAGTGATTTAAGAGTTTCTAATTGCAAAGCTTAGCTTAGAATTCTTAAGGAAAGGTCAGGTAGCAAAAATTCGATGTGATTCAAGGCTGTCTTTCTTATTTGCTGACACAACAGATAAAGCAAGTGAGGGAAAGGAAAGTAATGAAAAATTGAGGGCACGATGAATGGGGCATCTTTTCGAAATATAGAGACACGCAAAGGGGAACTTTTCAGGAAAACAAGAGCGCTTTTCATAAAAAGGGTAGCAATTCATCAAAAACTTGGGGGACATCCTCAAGGGTGCTTCCAAGGTCCTATGCTGTTGCCATCTAGAATTATATTCGTTGCTTGCACATGTAAACAAGGCGGCTTTCTGACAGTGAGTCTGTTTTTAACAACCCTGCGCCTTCAAATTTTGCTTAAAATGCTGAAAATATGACATTCATTGATTTGAAAAATGCTCTGATATAATTTCATGTCATATAGGCATTTGAGGTTCTTCTATAGAAACCCTGTATAGAATTCTCCTTTTACAAAAGCCCGGCAAAAACGCATTATAAGACAACCAAATTTCGGCACGGTTGCCAAAGCTATTTTCTAAAACCAATTTACATCCTTCACTGTTGTTTATCCGTTTGGCCTTAGAAAATGTTCAAACAATAATATTTCGAGTAATGTTATGGTATTTCTGGGTATGCTATGGTATACCATGGTATTTCGGGGGTAATTTGAGGGTTTTTCAATACATCTTAAGGTATTTCGTGGTATTCAAAGGTTTTCCGTTGTTTTACATGGTATTTTTAAGAAAAATTGATAATATTTCAATGTTTCAGTAATATAGATAATTATAAGACTGTTTTAGCGTATCTTACGTAGATTCATGGTAGTTGAAGTTACTTTAAAGTAACTCGTAGTATTTCATGGTATCTCGTGTTAACTTGAAGCATACAATAGTTACCACCGTGAACTCTTATTTCATTAGTTTTTCAACGTTGGATTTAGGCCATAAATATGCATTTACGCGGTAGTTACTGTAACTGTAAATGTAACTCGCGGGATTTAAAGCGACTTGAAAGTGGCTCATTGTATTTTCATGGTATTTCAAAAATACCATGGCTAATACCGTGCATTTTAATTGCGTTACAATCTAAACACTGAATTTAGGCCATGAAAAATTCATTTACATTCTTCTGCTACGAAGACAATAACAAATTGGGAAAGAACTTTCCAGAACCTTACAGAAGACTCGCTCTGTACAACTACAGAATTCAATTCAATTCCACAAACATCTGCATGAGGAGATCAATGTGACCTATGCTATAACAAAGGTTCTCCAATATACTGACTGTCCCATGGCTCAAACTGTATAATACACATCAAAAAAACCATTCTCGATTGTAATCTGCAAGGTAAAATATTCACGTTGGTTGATAATGCATACAGTTAGTACCTCCATATAAGAAACCCCTTGTATAAAAAACAGGCCTCATTTTTATCAAAACTTATCTTATGAGAAACAATCTTAGGCCTGAAATTAAAATTTTTCTTATTTTCAAGTATAAACAGTCGTGTTTTGTAATTTCTGTTCATGCTCTAGGATGGTTGTAGCTTGTGTATTCTATTGAATCATTCTGTAGATTATATATTATACACTACTACCAGAAATATTAAATACACTTCCATGGACGGTACTGTCGTATAGCTTGACTTGCTTTGACTTAACCGTACCTATTGATAATAAACTTAGACCCTGACGATGAAGTCAACTGAAGAAGTTAAAAAATAACTTTCCCCCCTCTCCCAATTCAATGTTGAATGCATGATTTTTAAGGAGAAATGATAGAACTACAAATCCAACATTGCTTTGGGGGAAACGGGGGGGGGGGGAGAGGTAAAGTAGAAAATTACAAAAATTGCATTTTGTCTCAACATTTTTGTCCGGGATTGTAGCTTGCGTGCTGGCAATATAATCGAAAATAACTAGGAATTTTAGTAAAATTGTACTAGGAACATCGTTGATAAATGGATACTTTTCTTACAAAAATCAAACGACTACAATTGAGGTTTATTCGCTTTATTCTACGGTGATGACTTCTTCAGGAACGCAAAAAGAAATATGTATACCTACTTTGTGTACGAATGTCTTCTTAGTTTTGTTCGCCACAAGAGACATACGATCCACAGGAATTTCCCTAAAAGAAAAGAGTCATTGGATATTCGTGGCAAAAGAAATGCGTCATATTGACTGGGAATAGTTGTGCTGTGGAAACTGTTTCCATGGTAAAGTAATTGAATTGAATAGTTTGAAAGCCAAATCTTTGAGGTTTTTTATATCTGCAGGGATAGGCCTAAATAACCCACAAATTTTTTAGGTTTTTTATATTTGCAGGGATGGGACAGGAAAGAAATGGCCTTGAAGGACCCAAAGATTTCGAAGACTTGGGTGGACAAGGCATTTGACATACATAAGTACAGCGACTCCAAAATAACTTAAGCCAAATTGATCAGAGCACGCGCACAAGAAAGGAATCGAAAGCTGCTCAGGTGAAACAACGGAGCGCTGCTCTAGGATTTCACCGATTTGCAGAAAGGCAGAAACTGTGCACGTGTTTTTCTCTGTGCACAATTCGATTGGTCAAACAGGTTACAGCCACTTTTACCTGTTTCAAATGCCTTTAAAGACCAGAGCTCATTCAAAAATGTTCATCAAATTAGTCTGCTACCCAACTGGACACACTTCTCCCCTATACTGAAACTCATTGTTCTTTGCTCTAAGGCATATGTGAGCTAAGGCATAAACTATATCACTGGTTCAATACACCTGGTGGTACGCAAAATGTCATGGGACGTTCGTGGAAAATTTAATAGGGGTAGGAAGACAGGGGTATGGGTACGATAGGGGTACGATAGGGGTAAGCTCCTCCTGGCGATAGGGCTTTCTTTTATGATGGGGGGCGGTCTCTTCTATGGTGACAGGGGGCTTTCGTCAATGGTGGCAGGGGATCTTCTTTTTTCGTAAGGGGGGCTTTATTCTATGATGAGGGGCTTTCATCAATGGTGGCAGGGGGTCTTCTTTTTTCGTAAGGGGGGCTTTCTTCTATGATGAAGGGGCTTTCTTCCTGTGCAACTGAGTTTTACACTCTTGCTTTAAGGCAATCTACAGATACTTACTGGCCTAAGCATTCTGTCAGTCAACGATTGACCAATCAGTGAGCATGACACCACTCAAATGCCTTTTGATTGGCTGATATTGATGGACAGATGACTTAAGCCACACAGGTAGGTCTAATCGAAAAAGCATGCATATTAAAAGAATATTTTCATACATAGGGTGTTCTGACACCATATTGACTCCAAAACGTGACTTGACACGAGCGTTTCTTCCCAGTCCTCTCATCGAATGAGTGACATGCTTTGAAGGGAGGCGAGTAAAGGTGGAGGCTGACAGCTTGATTGGTATGGCTTGGGTTTTCTACTCGATGTAGGCCGAGAGAATCTGCGAATAAATTGACAAAGATGGTATAACAGAGAAGGAATTTCATCACATCTTTCATTCCTACTGGGTTTCAGAAGCAGGGCATAGCTTGTATTGGAAATTGAGGGAAGTTGGTGTTGGTGTTGATAATGCCTGATGGCTGATGATGATCATCGATGATTTCGATGATTAATTATGATTATTATGATGGTTAAATGATTGATTACGATGGATTGATGATCGTGATTGATGGATGATTATGTTTGGTTGATGATTGTGATTGATTGATGATTGTGATTGATTGATGATTGTGATTGATGATGATTATGATTGATTGATGATTGTGATTGATGGATGATTATGTTTGGTTGATGATTGTGATTGATTGATGATTGTGATTGATTGATGATTGTGATTGATGATGATTATGATTGATTGATTATGATTGATTTATGATTATGATTGATTGATGATTATGATTGATGGATGATTATGTTTGGTTGATGATTGTGATTGATTGATGATTGTGATTGATTGATGATTGTGATTGATTGATGATTGTGATTGATGATGATTATGTTTGGTTGATGATTATGATTGATTAATCATTGAAATTGATTGATTGGTGATGATGGATGGATGATCATGATTGACTGATGATCATGGTTGATTGATTGATTGATTGATGAATATGATTGACTGATAACTGTTTGATTGACTGATTGATTGACTCTAATAACTGACTGGCTGTAATAGTATAACTGACTGATAATTGATTGATGATTATTGTTGATTAATTGATCATCTTGAATGATTGTTTAATGATATACGATTGACTGATGTTGATTGATTATGATAAATGAGAATATGACTGTTGAGAAAGTTGATGATTGATTGATGAAAGTGAATAGCAAGTTATTCGTTATTAACAAATTCCTAGGCTTCCTTACCATTTATGTATGCAACTTGATTTCGCCTGTAAATATTTTTTCTGAGTGGATCCATCTTCTCGTTTTCAATTCCATCTTGCGGCCAACCGTAAAGTGTCTCTTGCAGCTCGCCATCAAGGACCTTCATGAAGCAGTGAGCGTCGGAATGGTCGTGGATTCCACTGGCAAAATAGATTTTCACATTGAATTTTCTACAATTTTATATTATAAATTATTTTAAAGACCACTAAATAATTCACTCATTTTTTATAAGAAATAAAGGTCGATGTTGATTATTCCAGTTTTTAATGTTCTGGAAATTTCAATACTCATTGTTTCTTAAGAGTTTCTTAATTATGATGTCATGAATGATGTTATGAAATGTTCGTGATCTTATTTTATCACGTCAAGAGATTCGCTTCCGTTCTGATGCTGTATTTAGATGTTTGAAGTATATTTCTATTCCTTGTGTCTTAAGTTCTGGGCCAACAGGGCAATCTTGTTCTTGGATTTTACAAAATTTCGTTGTTCTGTTTTATCACGATTTAATAGTTTCTTAATTTTTTTACTTCGAGTACTGAAGTTTCTTAATTTTCTCTAACTGTCCAGTACTCATTTTTATAGCCAGTTTCTTATAAAAAAAATGAGTGTAGTTGTACACAACATTGTTGGCAGCACGGGAAATAAGCTTATAAAATCTGCATTGTTTTGCTACCAAGGGAGGTAATTCTCAAAAATAATTTGTTGTTGAAATTTTCATCTTGTCCAAGTTCATACACTGTTCTTAATTTTTCGGAAAATCGAGTCAGTGTTCTTAAAAATAGTGCTTTTTTAAACCAATAAATATTTTATCTAAACAGATATACACTACACAATATAGAATTCTGTACGGAAATGAAGACAAAAACACACGCCTGCAAAGAATACCGGAAATTCAGAGACAGGCTCACAAGAGGCATTGTGCCACAGTGACATACCTTCCCTGGCCTTCACCCCAACACAGCACAATCAGGTTGAATTTTCCATTTCCTTCGTCAACCAAATTTCTGGTATATCTGGAAAAAAGCAATAAATTTTTGAGTTCTATGATGTCTAAAGGGAATTCCAAAGCGAAGGACAGGTGCTCTTAGCATTCAGTAGCGGCGCCACAGGGGGGAGGCTGGGAGAGACGCGCCCCCTCCCTAATTTCATCTAAATTCGATGAGAAAATATCGGGGGAGGGGTAATATTTTGTAGCGTACTTTTATCAGTGGAGTCCTATGATTTTTAAACTGTCTCTGCGTAACTAAATGTTAGTAGTGGGCGCCCTCCATGTTTGTAGAAGGGCGTTTTCTGGTAGTAAGCAGGGTGTGGTCTAAAATTTTAATAGCAAAAAGTAGAAAAAAGCTTTTTTCGAGCGAGCCCTGTTCACATCCCCCTGAGACCCCACTCCAGATCTACACATCTGCCCCCTCCGAATTTTAAAGTTCATCAAACAGCCTTCTGTCTTATAGGCTCAAACAAGTATAAAACCGGTAAATCCCCATAATTTTTTCAGTCAACACATTCTATTTATCGATTTATATTTACTGGTTTTTTCACTTCGCCAGACATTCGCGCCAACCTGCTGAATCCAGTTAACAATAGGGGGATTTCCCTTCTGCGGTAGGTTGCCTAACATTTCTGAAAACCGGTTTGAAAAAACTTGTAAATATTTGCAAGCGATGGATTTTGTTTGAGATTGTAGCATTTGGCGGGTTGTTGAATTCAAATGCGAGATTTCATTCCATGTTTTTCAAAGAAAATTACTGCTGAACGCTAAAAACCGCGCTAAAAACATTAACAATTTGGCAATCGGCCTAAGTGGATTGCATGCGGTTTTTCAAGACCCCGTATGCAAGCTCAAACTCGAAACGATCGGATCCAAACTTGAAAAAATACTTTATAAAGAGAATTAGATTAATTCACGCGGCAGCAGATACTAAAAACACAACAAAATTCCACAAATGACGGACTGCCAGATGAAAAACAGGAATTTCGAGGCTCTAGTCCGGGCATGAAAACCAGATGGTTTCATGAACAATTGGCCTATCCGGAATATTTCGTAGAATCAGCGGGGAAAATACTGGGGAAAGACAAAAGAGAGCGTATTTAAAATATTGGAGTGAATAATGAGTTGCGAGGCGTGGGCGAGGAAAAGGAGAAGGATCTGGCTTTTGGGAGAATAAATGTTATCAAATGTCTGAAATAACATCGATTGTATGTTGTAGAATTTCAAATCATGAAAACTGAAATAGAATGTTTTAAAATTCAAATTTTTCATTAAATGCTCATTGACTCCTTTCCCCCGATTATTTTGACGACCCCTTTACTTAAGAAGGGGTCCTCGAAATTCGAGAACAGTTCGTTTGTCATTTCCTTTCCAAGAAGCAAATGTTCCAACACAACACGGAATCGGAAAACAATAGGAAACCATGACATGCTGACAAGGAACAATCGTAAAGGGAATGTGGAGGGTGTGTTCAAAATGGCCGACGGGTGGCCTTTTATGTCGCAAATCCCTACATGTATACGCGAGATTTTTGATATGAAAACAAAACAAATAGGTCACGCCTTTTCATCTTAAAGTAAAGAAAGTTGACACGCGATATCAAATTACACATACATCAACAAAAACCTCCTGTATATCTCTTTTAAAATTATTCGTGAGGCTAATCGGTGACACCATAAATAGGAGGAAATTAACGTTACCTGGTGTGCAGAGTGAGTTAAATTTCGGGGGTTTAAAGATACAATCATCTTCAAAATTCCAAAAAAGTAGCAAAACTTGCTGACAGATATGGTGCATTAGGAGGTGGGGGGGGGCTATAGCAAGAGGTGGCGCCAGAAATCTTCCGACAGAGGGGCTGGAGCTTCCAACAGGGGGCTAAAATCACTGAAATAAGCAGTTTTCGTACGTTATCTTGTCAAATTTGCTCCGACAATAACCTAAAATTTCCTCCGATGGGGGGGGGGGCTAGATGCTTCCGACGGAGGGGCGGTAGCCCCCCTAGCCCTCCCCTGGCGCCACCACTGGCTATAGCCTCGCAACCACTGCTCTTTTTATCTTTGTCCTAGTTGAACTTTAAATCTTTGCTATTTAAATTGATTTAGGCAAATGTCAATTGGTCATCCAATATTAGGTTTAGATAGAAATTAATGCTTGGCAGGGAGCTCTTATTTCATAGTGAAATTTCATATGAGCAAGCAAAGATCTGGGTTTTTTCTTAAGCCAGCCAGTAGTATTAATTTTCAGTCTAGTAGTCTTGAGTTAGTTTACATGTGGAGACATGCTGCTCATTGATCTATTTTTAAAATCTCCTTACAATTGATCAAATGCCTCACCAAAAAAACAACAATAAGGACAAAACAGAGATTAGTAAAATGCTTATGATTTCAAGTTTTGGTAAAAGCTCTTTTGTAACACAAAACACCACTGCTGACCAATTTTAAGGTTGAGAACACATTTTAGAAAGGACCTTTGCTATCAATATCAAGGTCAGGATTAATGTCAACAGCTCTGTCTCACTTTGTTGGAAAAACTAGACATCTTAGCTCAGGCATTTATTCTCGCACCAAAGATGCAAGTTTTACAACAAGTCATGGGCAGAGTGTGACTATAAACAAAGCTTAAAGGCAATCAGTCACGACGTTGATTGATTATAAGAACAAAGGGATTTTTATTGTTTTCAGTCCCCCTTTAATTTATCGCATTGTGATAAATATAGGGGAGCGCTGGAATCGTGTTCAGGCTATTGTTCCAGCTGTTGTTCTCATTAACCAATCCACAACAAGACAGATTGCCTTTAATTTCAAAGTTTTGCATGTTTAGGACAAAATTTCATGTGACTGGAACCAGCAGTGTAACTTTAAGAGGAGTGACTATAAGGGGAGTTCAGTGTATTTCAGTTCTTTCCATTTCTTTTGAATAACTGTCCCCTAACAGGCACCGCAAAGCAGGGGGGGGTATGAGGGGGCTTTAACAAAAATATTAAGAAATGAACAACCAGTAAAGTCTATTTTTATTTGGTTTTAGCCCCGCACTTTTTTAGCGCCTCATTTTTTGCAACGCTCCGTAGTACCTTTCTTAATTTCTGAAAAGGGTTATGACAATAAAATTCTACTATACCACACTTCAGGATAGGATAAAAGGAATGACATCTTTTAACAACTACTTTGTGGGAAAAGACTTTAGGACCTTCTCTTGCCCTTTTGCTCAGCAAATATAGCCACAATACAACAATAAATTAAGCTGAAATCTTCTTATTTTCAAAGCAGTTTCATTCATTTGTCCAAAGCCTTCTTCTTATTTTCAAAGAAATCTTCTTAATTTCTGATTTTAAACAAAGGATAACCTTAAATATAAGCTTATTTTTTAAAATATGCAACATTTTTTAATACGACAAATAAACATCATTGAATTGGTTTAGAAATTTCATATTGGCTTAGATTCAAGGTCGAGATTTCAAAACCAATTTTTGGCTTCTGCCCTTCCGCTTGAGGACCTTCTGCTTAAACATAAGGTCAGCTGAAAGTCTGGGGAAACAATCATATCAGAAGGTGATAATAAATTGCTAGACAACAAAGGAATTTTTCTGGCAACAAGTTCAAAGAGATAAGTGTCTTAGATTCTGAAAGTAGATTTAAGTGTCATTAATTCAAACCAATAGGAAGATTGTCCATGTAAAAGGAAGATGTCACAGCAGGACCATCACAAGCCATTGTGTCCAAGAGGGGGGTGTGCAGGCCCATAGCCAAGGGGTGGCATGGGGTGGCATTGCCACCCTGGATCAAGAGCATACTAGCTGTTTGCCACCCCAATAATTTTGTCTCTAAATTTTTAATGGTGTTTTTCGTTGTTATCATCGGATTGCCATGACAATTTGAGTCAAGCTAATACTGGCAGAAGGAAAATTGTTTATTGGGGTCCCCTCTTATTATCCATTTAGGACATTTAGGATGGTGCCTGGCAATAAAAAAAAATTCGCTGCTAAGCAAAAACTTGAAAAGAACTATTGCTGAAACGTCTGCCTGCAACAGGTTTGAGTAGTTTGCCAACCCTACCCCATAGGCCTGACTACGGGCTTGGGGGTGTGTTCAGGGTCCATTTGCGACAAAGTTGGTGAACCATCCTTTAGCACCCCTTAGCTGTCAAGGCGTGCTGACAGATTAGGTAGTTTGTTGTGACGGAAAATCTTTCACCTGTCAGGGCAGGTTGAGTTACTGGTTTTCTAGCCTTCTTCACAATTTGCAGTGTTCAACTTAATTCTTATTTATTTAATTGAGCAAAATACTAAAGCCATGCTCAATATTGGCATTAAAGTTAAAGTATTTGCTGACACAGCCCATGCATGGCTAAAAGCTTCTCCTTTCTGCAAAAGCATTTTTCCAAAGGGGTGACACATTTCCAGGCCTCGAAAGAGCAACTGTCTGTGTGGAGAGAGGTGTATATATCAAAAAGAATATGTGCTTTAAATAGATTGGCCCATCAAGAAGCAAGGGGGCAGATTGCCACAGGTCCCCGACACAGAGGGACGATCAAAAATTATAATAATAAAACAACAACAAAACTTATCATTGTTGTTATGAATAAAGGATATAACGAAAAACGTGCGATCAACTGTTAGAACCATTCAAGCATGTTCATTTTAAAAATTAAGAAAAACCATGGATCATAAATGTTGATACAGGATCAATAAAATTGGTGATAATAAGGACAGTTTTGTCAATGTATTGCTTGCAAAATGAAAATCGTTACAAAACAACGAAACATCGTCACGGTTTGTGGGATATTTCTTGTAAATAATCTTGAATGAAATCATAACACACAAGTCTCCTTTGAAGGTCTTTTTTGTTTTTCTTCTTTGGGGGATCTATCCTTCTGACCAAATATTGTTCATGGCACAAAAGAGCCCTCTTGCCGACATAATGCACTGCCCGCCTATATTAAGTTTGGTGTCACGAAATTTTAAGACAGAGGCTTTTTTATTGAGTAGAAACGTGGAAAAAGTTACAATTAGGCCTTGCGATGTTGTTTTATTAAAGATTAGGCCTAACGACGTCGTTTTACGTAATATGGACATAATCAAGGTTGCTCTGTTTTCTTCAAAATCATTTCAAAACCATGCTTTCACGCACGAAAATTGCAGCTTAAACTATAATATTTCTTTGTTAATGACCAATGGATGAATGCATAAATAAGAAGCAGGGAACGCGATAAACAGTTATAAAATTACCTGTACGGGTCGAAAGATGCAAATTTTCGCCACTCATTTCGTTGAGAAGAGTACGACTCCATAACACTGTGAACTTCATCTGCGTTAACCTGATCATCTGCGAAAATGACGTGTAATTTTTCAATCAATTCTTGCAATGTCATACTGCTTTGATCATTTTCTGTGATACTTCGCTCCATTTTTGTTAAATTGGCGATTTTTCAAGTGTTACCAATCCAGCCGACGACCACCGGACGCTTCAAGTCCAATCTGTAGTAGATCTTCATACGATTCTGAATAATATATGAATTAACCCACGTGACCAATTTCCTGTAAAATAATTGGTTGATTACAAAGGGAATCACCATTTCTAATGAGCAATGGCGTCAGAAAATGAGGTCAATTTTTCATACATAGGTTTCAGCGATATAAGGGCTTGGGGGTTGCTTTCTTGGGGTGCTTTGATGCATAAGTTGATATTTTTTGCTAAATTAAAAGTTTTAGTTCGTGTAGAGTTTGAGAGGAAGCTGAAATAATGCCCACAACAGGGCCCACGCCACCGGGGGACGGATTCATAAAACTTGGCATGGGCCAGTAGCGGCGCCACGGGGGGGGGGGGACACGTCCCCCCAGTTCTCGGCAGGATCAATTTTGCATTTCGTCTAAATCCGATGAGAAAATGTTAGGGGAGGGGTAATATTTTGGCAACGTACTTTTTGTGATGTTATCCTATGATTTTCAAACTGCCTTCACATAGCCAAAAGTGAGTAATGGGCGTTCCCTTCAGGTAAAAATTGCGTTCCTTGTTAGTAAAAGGGGATTTTCTGGTGCTAAAAGGGGCGTGGTCCAAAATATTGTATTTTGTCCCCCTCAGAGCGTAGTGGCTGGCGCCGCCATTGGCATGGGCCCTGCACAAAAGTGAAGAATTTTGAAACAAAGTTATCACCCCTGTCGAGCACGATAGCTAGGAACGGCCCTGAATACACCCCCGCCCCCTCCCCTTCCCCCTAAACGTGTATCACTCGCTAGATCCATGAATATTTTTATCTAAAACCTTCTGTATTGTTTTAAAAATTTGAGCTTACTTTCGTAGGCATCATTTTAGCTTCCTGTCCAAGTTTACACGAACTGAAACCTCATATTCAGCAAAAAGTATGAACTTATACATACAATATAATTAACAGAATTTTACAAGATTTCTTCGCATGATTCAAGTTTTGATTCAGTATCTAAAATTCAACGCAGGTAAAATTTTTATGCTGATAGTGTTTGTGATGTGCACTATATGACGACATGAAATTTGAAAACATACAAGGATTTCAAAATAATTTAGGGTGTATTTTTACACTCAACCCCCAATCACTTTCACGTTAAAACCTGTAAAGTCTTCCGGCATTCTTTTATCATATAATCAAAATTTTTGTTCTAAACCACGAAACTGAGGTCAAAAGATTTGAATTCTGTGGTTTGATCAGGGACAGGAAGAACTGGAAAAACGAGACTGCAGAATTGAAGTTGTGTGTGAAAAAATGATGAAAAGGTTTCTGGAACAAGAAAAAGTACAATTGAACCGAACAAGGAATATTCGCCGAAATGATACTTCGGGTACCAAATTGTATATTATTTAGTCTCCGAAATATAGTTAGAAACTAGTCACATAGGGCCCATGTCGCGAATTTGAAGTTAGGGGGGCAAGGCTAGAAAAGTAGGGGGCCAAGGTTTCTTTCCCTTTCTATTGCATCTTTAGAACTACTTGCGTCGCAAAAGGTGGGGGCCATTGCCATCCCGGCCCCGGTGGCGTGGGCCTTGTTACAGAAAATTTTTGGAGCTACAATACTTTATCCCCGGATTAATGACCCTCTGGTACCCAGGGTACAAAATGGTAATCTAGAAAGGAAAAACCAATTTGTATCCATGGAGAAACCTCAGTTTTGTATTATAAATGAGTAGCTCTTGTAGTTTAGGCTCTAGATTATCGACTTTGTAACTTCAGGCTGGCAAAAAATGGAATCTTTCTTATGAGAAGAAACAACGGCAATCAGAACTCGCTCTTGTTCGAAAAAACAGTGGATAAATTGTCACCAAAATTGGATGATCAAAATCCAGGGAGGGATTTAGCCAGGGTGTAGGGGGTGCAAAAATCCCCAATATTGCTGTTTCCTTCGGTAAATTTTACTTCTATCGCTTAAATCATTTTTGGTAGTCAATAGTAGCAAAAGAACGGCAAGAATTTAGTTGATTCCATAATTCTTATCTTCTTAATATATCTTCTTATCTTCTTTCAGGTTATCTTCTTCCACATAAGATAGCAAATGTGATACTGAAATAAAGAAGAGAATTGCCATGAGATTGGCCTATCTCGATCCACAACTGGGTATATATTTTTCCTAGCGTAGAGTTTCGGTCTATGTTCTAACGTTTTAAACTCTGAAAAGTGTCAGATGAAAAGCTTTAGTTTACTAAATGTTTGATTTTTTCAAAGCCATTTTCAAGAATTGCCATGGCAAAACAAAACTTTCAAAAATTAGGAAATATTTTTAAAGATAGAAAAATGAGCATAAAAACAAACTACTTAAATTCTACGTACATTCTGTCCTACTTTATGGTAGCGGGTGCTCGACCATATCACCAATAATGGAGAACAGATTGAAGGTTAAAGAAATATGGTCCTATAGACGAATGATAAGGATGTCATAGACAGATCACATATCAAACGAAGAAGTTCTCAGAAAAGTGACATCTGAAAGAAGCCTAATGAAAGACATCCGTCAAAGGCAACTCAGATTCCTGGTTCATGTCATGCGCGAAGAAAAAATCGAAAATTTAGTACTCACGGCAAGATTGAAGGTGAACGGAGCAAAGGACGACCAAAGTTCACATACATCACTAGCCTTAGTAAATGCATTAGACTAGGCGCAGTGGAGTTCAGTGGCGTACCCAAGGGGGGTTCGGACCCCCCCCACTTTTCTAAAAGATGGTCCTCAAGATTTGTCCAAGAATGATGTAAAACTCATTGGGGGTAGTATACTGTATGCTTGTGTCAATAACAATTGTAAAATACTTTGCTAATTACCGTAGCTAACATGAATCAAATAATGGGGGAACATTTTGCAAAAAAGGGCGTTTCCCCGCATTTGCGAGTGTTTGAAGGACGTGGTCCCAAAAGAATCCCCCCTCCCCCACTTTCTGCAGACCTGGGTACGCCACTGGTGGAGTTACTTCCGGAAAAGCCATTAGGAAATGCAGTCTATACCTATATTGTGTATAGGAAGTGTACCGTGGCTATATAGGATACAGTATTGAAAAGTGCCAAAACTTGGGCCGGTCAAAGTGACGTCATTACTTGATGATACCTCAAAACCAAAACCACTGACATCTGAGGTACCTGATGTAGGTACTTGGTGCATTGACATCTGAGGTACCTGATGTATGACGAAAGTTACGGGCCTAAACGTTTTTGAAAAACCGGTCATTACAAATGTGACAACAGTGGGACAACTGTGACAGGTACCGTAAATTACTTTCCAACGATGGTCGCCAAAGTCCGGATCGGATAAGACACCCGAAGAAGAAGATCTTCTTCTTTAACTCAAAGTTTAAAATTGAATTTTTAAAATGGGCCTTTCAATCCTTTACCAGTGACCTGAAAAGTGTGGTACCAAAATCAAATTAGTGCCCAGCATCCCCCCCCCCACAAATCATTGCTGTTTAAGTCCGTCCTAGCCAACATCCCCAGTCGTTTGAAAAGTGCCCAGGAAAATCTTAATCCATTAAACCGAGTCATTTGAATAAGATCACATTACATTCACATCTTCATATTTCTATTGATCCTACGAGAATATTAACTTCCAAGTGCTAAAAATAACATTTTGATATTTCAAACGAATTAAATGACAATCATGAAGATATTTTCTGCTATTCATGGAAACTGATAACCTTGAATTGCAAAGAGTATTTTTAAATTTAAAGCCAAGGTGACTGCTCTTGTGCAAGGTTTATGGACAAGGTAATGCAAGCATAGGCTGTGAGAAGCCCAGCGTGTCCTAGCCTGCGTGTAGACTCTGCACGCAGGCTAATCGTGTCCACTCTCATGCAGCTGTGTACCCAAGCTCATCTGGAAAACCTCTGGTATGGTGATGCTAATTCCCTCAAACCTAGGAAAGGGGAGAAACGAACTGAAATCAGCTGTAATTCAAAACCATTCTATGCCAAGATTCCCCTTTGCTGATAGCATCTGATCAGTGATGTAGTGCTATCAAAATAACAAGGAGGGCTCAGCCCCCCTGAGCCCCCCCCCCCCCTTCAGCACTACACCTCTGCATCTGAGAGATGAGACCAAAATCCTTCATGTAATTTGGTCATTATTATGATTATGATACTCAAAGAGTACCACCTTAATGTGACTCAAGAGTACCACCTTAATGTGACTCAATGAAGCATTTAGAAGAAATTGATACTTTATTAAGTAAGTTCATTTGCAATTTATAATAGAAAGTTAGCATGTTCGTTCTAGACACACCTTGAGACCTATAAAAATGAAATCAAATAACTAGGATTTCGGCCTTCACAAATTAAAGTAGCTTTGAACATAATAGTGTGACAGAATTTTAGAGTAGCAGTGCAGGAACTTCTTCTCACTTTGTCTTTTGTTTAAAGCTGTGGCGGCGCCAGGGGGGTATAAAATTTCTCAATGAAAAGAGGGAGGGTATAAAAAGTTCACATAATAGTTATAAAAAAGGGTCTTTTTAAGGTCTCTCCGATGAGCTTGAGCACACCACATAGTGAGAGTGGAGACGCTGGAGTTATAGGACACAATATATCCTGTAAGAAGAATAAGGTGCGACACGTGCCTGAGGTTAGCGAATGACTTATCTTAACACAAAGAAACTATACGACTTATACACATATGATTACGAGGTTAAACTATTACGAGGTTGCAGTTACGTTAAGCCTACTACACCGGGGAAGGTGGGTGGGGGGATTATCGCGGTACCTAAAATGCATATCAACAAGGTAAAATAATGGAGCTATTTATAATAGAACTACAAAAAATAGCAGCTCTATCATTTTATCTTGATATCAATCGATTCGTTGTTATAGAGTACACCTCGTTTATAATCACACCAAGTGATGCTTGGGATACTGTGACAGTAAGCGGAGTTTGACTGTGAGTGGAGCTTAAATAAACATATTTGGACCTAAAATCTATCTTACTGTAAAGCGTAGCGTTACTTTAATGTGGGTGACTCTGAGCGGGGTCCACTGTGTCATAAAGGATTTTATTTCTGAAAATGTAACTTCTTGATTGCATGATAATAGGTATCTTCTACAGTGTCCGGAAAAGATTTCTTCGTCATCTGGACAGTTCTGAAAGCTTCCGACAGAAAGCAAAGGAAATTAGGTTGGGGTTTGGGTGGGGCTCATTAGTTTCATTTCCATTTCTTTGGCCTTCCCCGCTGTTTTAGGCCATTTGATCGCTATATTGTCTGCGCTATATGTGCCGAGGACATAGGCTCCGACAAAGGTTGTAAAGTGGGGGGGGGGGGCAAGGGAAAATTTAACACCTATAACAAAAGATTTTGAAAAAAACTCTATTATTTTGCAAAAAAGTGGGGGCCAAGGCCCCCCGGCCCCCCCCCCCCTTCGTCAGAGGCCCTGAAGGATGCAACGCCAAAATTAAGACAGCAAAGAACCCTAGGAGTGACAACAGCTCTTACTACTTTCGGAAAATTGACCCGCAATCCATGGAGAATTTTCTTCCCTATTTTATTAAGAGCAAAAATTGTAATAAGCTGGTTTTAAGGCTCTTTGAAAGTGGTGAATGTTAAGCCAATTTGCCAGGAAGGAAGACATTTCATATTTTAAGACTACAGAAACTCATGTCAAACAGGGGCATGTGGCTAGATATGTCGAGTGGATTTTTCTCACATGTCCTACAGCTTTCATTTGTAATAGTTACTGTTATGAAATATGTAAATATATACTTCCTGTTATTTAATCAGCTTAAATTTAGCAGTAGGAAGTTTTGTAATGTAACAATGTAATAAATTGCTGTGAAATGAGATATTTGAATTTGAATATGTCTAATATCTAATATCCATTTCAGTCATCAAAGACTCCTTGAGGAACGCATAACTAGTCAAGTACACCAATAATTCGAAGAGAGGGCCCTTTTCTATCCAGGCCGACCTGGACTTTGAATTTCAGTCTGAAACCTTTCCTCAAAGTGCCCTTTAGTTAGGATGTTTGAAAAGGCCCTGGGCAGGTAATTGTAAAAAAATATTGTCAAAACACTGCATAAGATAATACGTTAGTGGTTGCACGGAAGATCCAATTACGTAATCAATCACAGCCTGGCCTGTGCTCCAGACCTCTAGCTTTCTCCAGACTCCATACCTCTTCCTTCAGGTTGGGGGTCTGGAGCACAGGCTACACCCGTCTAGGCTACGACACGCCTTCTATTTCAAATTTTGTTTCCAAGAAGAAGATTGAGGACAAACCGTTGATATCGACAAACCATGGGAAACAGGGACCGCGCACCAGTCTAAATGTGGGAGGGCTGAAAAGGGCGTGACCGATTTTTTTCAGGCCACGCCCTTTAGAGCGCCGGAAAACGCCCCTTTTAGAAAATACTGGCTTATTCTACTGGGGTTTTATAAACAGTCTGGTTCAGAGAAGATATCAATAGCTATAAAGATAGATAAAATTAGCTTGGTGGTAATAAAACAGCAAGAAAACACTTAGAAAATGAACAAAAAGCTTTCCCAGTCAAGAAAAACTGCTACTCCTTAGGAGTATACGATTCAATGTTGCATTAGAGCATAGTTAGAGTAAACTTTCAAGAACGTTTTCTAACGTATTATCGCAAAAAAGTTGAGGGGCTATAGCCCCTGCTAGCCCAATGGTACCCTGGATCCCAGACTCACTATATAAAATAATCTATGTCATTTTATATATAGCGAGTCTAGTACCCAGGGTAGCCCAATGGCTGCGTGGTGCCTGCTGTGAAAATCCATCTATTTTACAAGCACATTGCAAATCGTACTTTGGGAATGTTTTCAATGTACCACAATATCTTTATTTCTGCATAAGAATAGCCAAAAACATTTATTGCTGGGTTAGGTTTTATTTTGAACATTATACCTTAAACATTTTAATATTGTATCATATACTTATTTAATACTAATTCTTTATCGATCGTTGGCCTCAATTAGCTTCTTTATAGCTATTAGACGTTCATTTACTACGCCAACTTTAAACAAATTATTTATTATTATATCATATATTTATATATAAATGCATACTATAACCAGGCTCGCTAACAAATCACAAAGGATCAGAGATGATCTACCAGGACCACAAAAGCATAGCTAATTCTTGCAATCCATAATTGAAATAACATGATAACGCATACATCCTCACACGATCAAGCTAACATCATTACTAAATACACTCTTTTTTATAAGAATCAGTTAATTCAAATTCAGTCTAGTTGCTCTTAAATTTATTCAAAACTTTGAGGCCGAATTGTTATTAATTTGTCCTAACTTCGCTAGCAATTGTGCTCAAGGGGAGAGTTCAGGCCCCATTTGCCAACAAAGTGAGTGACCCATCCCTTATTTACAGAAAAGTTTGAAAAGACATACTGTTTCCTCAAATATGTTTCCTCACAGGACAGACTTTAGAACAAGACACCCAATCGTATAATGAAAATCTTATTCGATCTAAAACAAGTAAATTATGAATATAAGTAAATACAAAACGTCTTACAGCGGCGATAAACTGAATAACTGGAATGGAAACTGAATACGAAAATACAATAAAATAAACTTACTTACTTATGGTGATGTCTCTAAAGTGTCTTTGATAAGCTGGTTTCTGTCTAAATATTATTCCTGGTTAGCATGCGGTAACGATCGTGTCCTATTTTCCAACGTGTGAATACTACTAACTAAAACTAATTTGCATAAGAATAAAACAGAGCGGGATAATACAAAGCAACTTGTCAACATAATAATAATGTCCTTTAAGAATATATAATCAACGAAACATCCTCCGCCCCCGATAAGGGCGTGGTCCTTATCAACTATGTAAAGTTAATTATTCATATCCTTCTGCTGGGCATATAACTGCTATCTTTGTCACTGGGCGACTGTATTCTCCTGTTGCTGTTTTTACTTTGACATTGCGCACTCGTCCATCAGGTCCCGGGAATACTTCAAGGATTCTGCCAATGTTCCATTTACCTCGGATTGCGTTGCTCTCGGCAACAATAACTGTGTCATCAGGTTGGACATTGCGGCGGTCCATGTGCCATTTCTTTTGTGGAACAAGTGATGGAAAAACATCTCGTATCCATCGTTTCCAGAATGATTTTACAATTTTTTGAACAAACTCTACCCTTTGACGTGGGTCTTTAGTTTCTTGAAATGGGCCTTGAGGTACTTCTGGGGTAGCTCTTCCTAACAGAAGATCGTTTGGACATAAGTAGGCTCCATCATCTGGATCATTTGGAATTCTACCAATTGGGCGTTGGTTCAATAAGTTTGCAACTTCCATCAAACAAGTGTATAATTCAAAGGGTCTCAAAACTTGTTCACCAATAGCGATTTTTAATGCTCTTTTGCTGCTCTTTACAAGTGCTTCTGCGCATCCATTTTGGTGTGGTGCTGCCGGTGTGATGAAAATCCAGTTTATGCCTCTCCCTGCACAAAAATCTTGTAGTTGGTCAGTGTCGAATTCCTCTATCATCTCTCTCAAAACTCTCTCTGCACCAACCATCTGTGTTCCATTGTCACTCAAAATTACTGCTGGATAGCCTCGAATGCAGAAAAATCTTCTCAGTACTTGTAAAAATTCCATTGTAGAACAATCGGTTGCTAGCTCTAGGTGAACTGCTCTTGTACTCAAGCATGTAAATATGACACCATAATGCTTTGCTGTTTTATTACGTCCAATTCTAACATTGTACGGTCCAAAATAATCACATGCTGTGTAGTAGAATGGTGGTGTTTGCGGTGTCAGTCGAATTGCAGGAAGGCTTCCCATTTGTTGTTCTTCTGCTTTGTGTGCCAATTCTCTGCAGAACACACACTTGAATTTAACAGATTTGCTTATTTTGTTGCCTGTAAGTATCCAATATTTCCTCCTTATCTTGGCTGTGGTTGTTGCAACTCCGGTGTGTCCGTGTTGGTGTACGTGTCTAGTTATCAGCAGTGAAATCCTATGATTACTTGGCAGTAGGGCTGGATGTCTTGTCTCATAAGACACTAAAGCTTTATCTGCTCTGCCTCCAACTCTAATAACTCCATTTTCGTCAACAAAAGGACTGAGTGACTTGAATTCACCTTTCTTTAAACGGTTATGTAAGCTTTTTTGTGCATCTTTGATCAGAAACAACTCTGATTTCTGGAGTTCCTCGGGTTTCAGTGGTCCATATTTAAACGGTACATGACGTTTAAGGCGTCTGATATTTTCAGCTAGTCTTTTGATCCATGCATAAACTCGTATAAGCTTCGGCCAACTGGAGACTGTGTCATAATTGATAACATTTTCAGGCTTTGTGTTTATCGACAAACAGACTTTTGTAGCTTTACGACGTTCACTGTCTTCTTTGACTGGCGACGGAATAGCTTTTGTTGGCCATAATCCTTCCGCAGTTCGTAGAAACTCTGGTCCGTGCATCCATCTTCCGTTCAGTTCATGTACATGAATCCCTCGTGACAGCTCGTCTGCTACATTGTTTTCCCCAGGAATGTGTTTCCACTGGCTAGGGTCTGAATTGCTTTGAATCTCTCCTATCCTGGATGATACAAATGGTTTGTAACTGCGTGATGGACTTTGAATCCAAGCTAATGTTATCGAGCTGTCTGTGAAGAAATTAACATCCTTGAATTCGATCCTTGATTCTTCTTGAATCGTTTTTGCAAGACGTGATGCGAGGACAGCAGCTTGTAACTCTAAGCGTGGTATGGTTAGCTGTTTTAGTGGTGCAACTCTTGTTTTGGCAGCAACGAATCTAACATCAAATTTGCCATTCTCAATTTTCTGTCGAAGGTATGCACATGCTCCAAAGGCTTCTTGTGACGCATCTGAAAACAAACACAATGATGGTTTTTCTTTGACATCTGTTGTTAGCAATGGTCTTCTGAAAGAAATATTGTTGAGCTCTTTCATCTCTTTAAACAGTTCAATCCATTTCCCTCGCATATTTGTAGGAATTTCTATATCCCAATCAATTCCAGTCTGCCATAGTTCCTGTATTCCAATCTTAGCTCTGATAATAAATGCAGCAGCCAATCCGATTGGATCGTAAATCTTTGCAACTTCAGACAGTAGTCTTCTTTTGGTTAGTTTTACCTTCTCTGTTAGATGCTTTTCTTCATCAATGAGTTTCATCAAGTCAGAGTCAACTTTAAGTGACAGCGTATCTGACTTTCTGTTCCAAGAAATTCCAAGTACTTTCTCATCTGCTTCTTCTTTCAGCATATTGTTTGCATCTGACTCTCCTGTATGCTTGCTGTTTTCATGCAGTTCTTTGTTTGAAATCCATCCTTTGACTTGGAAACCTCCGTTCTTCAGAACAAAATCTATATCCTCTGCTAGCTTCTTTGCTTCTTCTACCGTTTCCACTGATTCACATATATCATCCATGTAAACATTTTCTGTCAGCACCTTTCCAGCTTTCGGTTTGATTTCTTTACATTCTTCTGCAGTCTTTCTCAAAGCAATCTGTGCCATCGCTGGGGCTGGTTTGTCCCCAAATGTAAGAACTGTCTTGACATAAACATCAGGCTCTCTGTGTGTCTCTAAATTACGCCAAAGAAATCTGTGTACATGCTGATCTTGTTCTGGTATCAATATTCGATGATACATCTTTGATATGTCACCAATCAATGCTACTTCTCTTTCTCTGAAACGCAGACTGACTCCAAACAGGTTATTCAATAAGTCTGGGCCTTTCATCCAATAATCGTTGAGTTGATGACCTTGAAACACTGAGGATGAGTTGAACACGATTCGGACAGGTGTGCTTTTCTTCTCTGGTCTTAGGACTGCATGATGGGGGATGTAATGCACAGGGCCTTTATATTCTTTTAATTCGTCAGTTGTCAATTTACATGAAAAGTTCATTTCGTTAATTTCTTTCATTTGCTTATCATAAGCTTCTGCTTGTTCGGGTTTAATCTTCAATCGACGTTCCATTGATTCTAAACGCTTCACTGCCAGTTGTTTATTGTCAGGTAGAAGATTGGGATCCTTTTTCCATGGATAT